GACTGTTATTAGCATCTAATTAACCATATCTACATTTAGAATGAGATGGCTCGTACAGAGAAAAGGCAGCATAATTACCGACACGGTACATGAATTAGTTTACAAATAGTTAATGGTTTTTTTTAATAAGAGCGAGAGAAACAGGTTTTAACCTCATCTAAATGAAGGGGCTTTTTTATTTATACTATTCCGAAACCCTGCTTGGCTTTCCATGGTTACTAATTGCTGGGGTTACCGGGGTTGGCCTCTTGGCGGGGTTTGCAAATTTGTTACCGGGGTTGGTAGCTCGCTTACCGGGGTTGAAATGAGGTTTGACAACTGATTGTTTAGATTGAAGTGCTCATTACGCAATTTTTTTTCAATAATTTGCCTGTATGTAGGGGATCTTTAGCACTGGGAGGATACCAGAGAACACCAATAAAACCTGTTAGGTCAGGCAGGCACCTGTATCCCTTGTCAAGTACATGTACTCGTGTGGAGTATTGAAACCACGCCATCTGACTAAGTGACAGACCTTATGATCTAAAGAGCAAATTTTGACCATTTGGTTACCCCATATTTTTTTTACTAGTTCAAACCGTAGTGTATTGTCCTTTAAGGTCGCTGACACACACTGGATTTAGAATGTACTCGCATTGATTATTTAACAAGGGTAGATAATCTCCCAGCATGGAATCATTTGTATTTAATGAGGACCATCAAATGATTCCAGTAAAAATTATAGGTGGCGCTGGCTTGTTTTGACAGTATCCTATATTGTCTGCAGTGGATCCCGAATGTCGGATATTCCTTATAGACATTCAAGTTTTACAATATTGTATTTTGCAAGGGATTCAAAATATCTCAAATAACGATCAGAGATTTTATTAATTTAAAATGACCCACCTGATATTGGACTTATATTCATTTTAGAGATTCAACTTTTACAATATTGTAGATTGCAAGGGATTCAAAAGAGCTTTAAATGACCCTCCTTTAGTTTAGCTTAAAGATATGTTGTTAGTTGAACTTGGCATAGTTTGATTATGATTAAATGATCCATCGTTAACTCTTTCAGTGTGACATGAATTTTAATCCTTACTACCTTAGTCAGATGTCAACAATTTTCGACATTTAGGTCAATCAAGACACACATTTCATTCTATCTGCACTGAAAGTAATTTGATAGGTGACAGAAATGAAATGAAATAGGGTTTAACCTTCCATGTCTAACACATAATGCAGACAAGATAGGTGACAGAATTCTTTGTTTTCGTTCTCTAAAAAATTATTTTAATTGTTTGCTTAAAATGACACTCCCTCTTGGGTCTGGGTCAAAAATATAAATGTTGATTTCACTCGATTTTTTGTTCATTTTATGTAAGATGACAGTTTGTTTTCATTCAGTTATTAAAATTTTTATTGCAATTATCTTCGGTTAGTCCAGTCTACATCTGGAGTATTGTTTGACATTACTTTTGCTTCGTTCATCAAGCTGTCATTACAAACTTCATGAATTGATTCTAAAATGTTCCTTGCGTCTTAAATATCAGGAGCCCATATTTTCATGACAAGATAACAATTTTCATTAAAGTGAACTAATATTAAATTATAAATCATGTTTTTAATCTTCTTTGAGCGGCATTTAGCAATTGATATACGTAATAAACACAAAAACATAAAATGAAACACAATTACTATTTTCATTAAAGCGACGTTTCGTTGAGGGTTCTCTCAACGTTTTCAACGTTGCTTGAAAACGTTGGGAGAACCCTCAACCATGCGTCACTTTAATTAAAATAGTAATTGTGTTCCATATTATGTTTTTGTGTTTATCATGTTGTTAATGTCGAAGATTAGGTAGAGACGAATGAATCAAGTCACAAAAATATGCGAGGCAAGTTGATCAATATTAACTCAAACTTAAAGATATTAATAAGAATTCAATTCATCTCCAACAATCATAAAATCTCTTATAGTTTTCCTGCTACAGACACCCAAAGTTGACACACTAAAATCTTCTGGAGTCAATGTCAAACAAGTCTGGTACCGACAGGCTTAACTAATGTCCTACAGTAACTCAAAGATATGTTCCCTAGGTGAATTAGATTTACTCTTTCTAGGTGGAAGTGATGAGGCATCTTTAAGTTTAATATACCTTTGCCCTACAGTTGGAAGTATAGTGCATGAGGTAGATTATTCTTATGCTGTAAAAATAAAATATTGCATGTATCTATGACACTTATTTTTACAAGAGACATCTCTAAGCTTAAAGTCTCCATGTCCCTGAAAGGTGTTCTTTATCTAGAAATATAGATGAGTAAATCAAAACTCCTAGGTTACATTCCATCATGCATAGAAACAAGTTATTCTTCAGTAGCTGAGGGGGGTTGGATGGTCAAATGGTTAGAACGTGCATGCTGTATCATAAGGCGTGTCACTGAGTCAACTGGCATGGTTTTGATTCCCCGGTTGTATGTGACAAGGAGTAGGGTGGCCTGTCCAAATGCTTGGGTTTTCTCTGGGTCCTCCCATTGCTAAAGACCCTACGCACAAGCGAATTATTGAAATAAAATTGAACCATGTGTTAGTCCCGAAATGACCTAGTTTGTGTCGAGTGGACGTTAAACCCCATTTCTCTCTCTCTCATTAGCTGATTGACATTCTAAGACTGAAAGTCGACATGTGACTTTAAATCTGTTTATTTTAATGTGCTTCTTGTCAACTCAACACCATAATTTGTATATAATCTTTAATTTCCTTTTTCTTCAAAACCTCACCTTTACGTCTACATGGCCTGGGATTACGTGTATGGTGAGACCCTAAATTATTTTTTATCAAGGACTCTCTACAATAAACAATATATGAATGGTTGTAAATCTAACTGGGATATTTTTTTATCTCAGCGTACATGAATCTGACCTTTATATAAAGGGTACAAATGTGTGTAATTGTTGCTTGTGGCTATGAATGAATAAACAGATCATTACTTATTTGTCCTAGGGTAAATAACTAGCATCAAAGTTTATTATTGCCTTTTGGAATGCACAACTTATGTTTTCATTCACTGAGACGGTGGATTATCCTTATGGGCCATTAAGGCCAATCCCAGCCAGTTTGTTTCAAAAAGCTAGATATAATACATTACCCTAACTTACTATACAAAGAGGGAGAAATTCGACACAAACTAGGTCAATTCAGGACTAACATATAGCTCAAATGTATTTCAATAATTTGCTTGGGCTCAAGACTCTTTAACAATAGGAAGGAACTATAGGACCTAGAGAAAATCCAAGATGATTGGACAGGCAACCCTACTCCTTGTCACTTACGTAACCAGTTAATACAATATATTTTCAACACAACTGACATGTCTATATTAACTGTCTAGTCAAATCATGTCAAAATAGAAATCATTTTTTACTAACCAGTAGGGGCCTGACCTCCAAAAGCACAATGCCTTTTGACCTCTTTGGGATACAGTTATCAAGGTGACCCAATATGGTCTTGTATGTGATTGTTGAAAATTGTTAATCAAGCACAATTATCTCCACAAACACAACACAAATCTGGTCACTGATGTTGCTATTAATATAAATATAAGGTTTCTGATCACACTCAACGCTTTTGCCATTTAACTCTATTTATTTCATGTACCATCTTGTAACTTATCTTTCGAATCAGGAGATGCTTTCATAATTTGTATGTCATCAATTCAAAAATGTGGTATATGGAAGTTTACACTATGCAATGACACTAAATAGACCTGTAGCGCCGAAAAGCTTATTACCAGTAATTTAATTTCATGACATGAGACGCGTCTAATAGACAGACTAACTTGATTGATGTCTGTACTCCTCTCTCTAAGATTCATAACGCCAGGGAATAGTCGAGAAAGCTAGAAATCAGGTTTATCACCCACTGAAAGCTGATAGGTCACTTGCTGAATTGTGTGCAGGGGTCGTTAGAAACGGGAGGACACCAGAGTACCCTGAAAACCCAAACTCCTTATCATGTACCATACAAACTTAGTATCAACTTATTATGACTTGCACAGATAATGGGCCTTAAGATCATAACATATAGGAATTAGACCACTTAGTCAGGCAACCCCTTGCCACCACCAATAGATTAAGTATTCAACAGAAAGGATATTCAATGTCAATTTGACCAAAAATTCTTTCTATTACTGTATCTCTAATGTTTTATAGCCTGAATGTATGAGAATAGTATTAGTGTCAAAATATTGACTAATAGCTATATTATTTTATGCTAGTTGGAAACAAAAAATCCATATGTAAACAACATTTAAGTATTATCTACATCTAAATATTTGCAAAATATATTATCATATTTATTACATATATCATTTCACAATTATCAGTAAATAAATCACTATTCAAAGTCTTGTATTTGTGTAATTTAATAGCTTATTTTTTAAAAATATAAAAATATGCATTTATTGACTTTGCTATAATACATTTGCTTTGAAGTAAATTTTGTCATTTATATATTTGGGTGTGTCAGTCCGTGTCTTTAATCCAATGATTTTCGTTATAAAAAGCTCAAAAGAATTTCATCTATTTAGGTTTTAAAATACCCTGGTACATTATTAGCCGTTAGTGATAGATAATCAATTAGAGCCATACACAGGTAAAACCCGATTAAATTCCATTGAAAATATGTTGATAGTATATAATTCTATTATTTGATGCAAATGTTGATAATGAAGCAAACATATTCATGAACAATGAGCGAACAAAACAACATTTAAAAAATCGTCCATTATTAGTCACGCTGGAGCCGTTGACCAGTCTGCCATAAGATTCTAAAATTTCATTACAATTACATCGCCATTTATTATGCATAATTTGTTCAATACCTATCTAAAAACGACACGTATTCAATTTTCACACAACAAAATATTGTCATCCATGCACTTGCTAATTTAGGTACGTCTGTCGAACTTGCATGATATCAGAAACTTGGTGAATCGGCCATAGAAAATAAGGACGTCTTACCTGTGAAATTTGGTTGATGACTGCAAGCTTTTACATCTCACTTTGAAGTGTCAAGGTAGTGAGCTAAAAATAGACGCTTGATCACACCGCTTAGGACATATGCTTCCGCGACGAAAATATTATTTTCAAATGGGGATAAAAACCACATTTTAAGATTTAATCCTTTTAAACAAAACGGTTTTACAGTGATTCATAATAAATGGCATGCATTTTAAAATATTATATTACATTCTAAAAATACAATAGACTTTCAGACCGGTTAAAATGATTTATTTGTTAAGACCATGCCGACAAATAATCCCATACACAAATATGTTCAGACTTTGTGCTCACACATTACTCTGACAAACTAATCAATTTGTTTCCTGCTTCTTGTTTCAGAATATCGCCGAAATTGAAATACTGGATAAATAAAATATATTTTTATTATTTTCTTTTCAATTTTATGTTACATAAATCACAGGTTGGCCTTAGGTTAAAACTTCACTCTAGCACACTCTGACTGTCAAAATTTATTTTATGGTACATGTGAATGGTTTATGTAATTTTAGTCTGATAATAAATGGGATAAACGGTGACATGAAATGGGATTTAAAGTCATATGCTGGCCTGCACCAACCGGGATTGGGATAGGTAATGCGGGCATGCAGTATCTTATAGAATATAATCAAACAAAATTGCATTGCATCGAAAATCCCTTTTAGAAATGAAATGAAATGGGGTTTAACGTCCCGCTGTTCTGCTCCTTCTGGGATAATGAAGCCAGGCATACACCATACAGTGTGCTATGAGGGAAATTTTGCCCTGGTAGTGTCATTATATGGCCTAGTCTTATATCGAATTCCAACTATCAAGGTTGTTTTTTTACGTGCATACACGGGACCTCGGTTTTCGTCCCAGCCGAACGACTAGACAGCTGCCCTTGTCAGGCCCTCCGTCCTGCACCACTGACAAGAGGAAACCACGTTGGAAAATCCCAATGAACTTTCTCGGCCAATGCAGGGATCGAAAATGCGACCTCCAGATTCCCGGCTCCCGCTCCCTTTTAGAGCAGCATATAATCTGTAAAATTGAAAAATAAAAGTACAAAAAGTATACACGGGCACAAATTCCAAACCAGACAAAACTCCAAAACAATGAGGAGGGACATTTAATTTTGTCCGGACAGCGGCTCTACGGTAGATGCCGTCCGCTGGTCACTATGCAATCAATAATATGATACCATACTGTACGCGGGTCAATACACACTATGCAATATACAATAACATGATACCTCACTGTTTCAACACGCACTATATATGCAATATACATTGTACATAGATACTGTATATCACGCTAGTTAATATACACTTATGCAATATACATTTAGCCCCAGGAACCATATAGCGGTATTTTTGCCCCCAAATAAACACAGGCCGGCGTCGTGGACAATACAGGGCATGCTGTTTCTAATAAAGGATATCGCCGTATTCGTGTTTTGTTTTATTTACACATAGGCGTACAGGCCGGGGTGGTGGTGGTGGTGGTGTGTGTGTGTGTGTGTGGGGGGGGGGGGGGTGCAGGGAACTTGCCCATCTAACATTTTAGTCAATCTGACTTTTCGGGTAGACGGATAATCTAGTTGGCAAGATAAGGTGCCCGACGTCTAATAAAACTAATTTTAATTCTCTGTTTATTGAATACCTCGAATTTGCACTGAATTGATTATTGATTTAAAAAGCTTATCTGGAACCGCACTGCTTTGCGCGGCATTTTTCGGGGATTGGTTATTTCTTGCATTTGTGAATGCATCTCTAACAGTCTGATTGGGTGATTGGAATTCAGGTCAGCATAATATAGAGTTGGATTTCGGCTGCGAAACCACATGGACAACGTTGAAGTTGCTTGACTCACGGGCTATGATGTTATGTCGATCGGACACAAATGAAGAATAAAGGACTGGTTTATCCATGGATCCTTTATTATCAGGTCCGTGCTTTACAACTCTAAAGCAGAATTAATTTATAGCGATAACGTTTTGGCCAGTGAGCGGAGAGCGAGGTGGATTTTTAGAGAGAGAGAGAGAGAGAGAGAGAATGGAGTTTAACGTCCACGCCACCCGAAACAAACTAGGTCATTTCGGGACTAGGGGATCACGTGGCTAAGTGGGTAAGACGCTGGCTCGCTAGCCTGGAAGTCGGGTGTTCGATCCCTGCATTGGCTGAGAAAATTCATCCAGATTTTCCGGCGTGGTTCCCCCTTGTCAGTGATGCAGGACGGAGGGCCTGACAAGGACAGCTGTCTAGTCCTTCGGATGAGACGAAAAACCGAGGTCCCGTGTATACATTGGAATGCACGTAAAAGATCCATTGGCAGTTGGAATTCGATATAAGATATAGGCGATAGTGCCGCTGCCCGGGCAAAATTTCCCTCATAGCACACTGTATGGCGTATGCCCGTCTTCATTAGCCCAGCATAGGAGCAGAACAGTAGGACGTTAAACCCCATTTCATTTCATTTTCATTTCGGGACTAACATATGGTTTAATTTTATTTCATAATTCGCTTGCGCGTAGGGGTCTTTAGCAGTGGGAGGAAACCGGAGAAAACACACGAAGGTTGAACAGGCGACCCTAATCCTTGTCACGTACAACCGGGGATTCGAAACCACGCCAGTTGACTCAATGACAGGCTTTATGTTACAGCGCGCACGTGCTAACCATTCGGCCATCCAACGACCCCCCCCCCCCCCCGTATTTTTAACGAAGAATTAAGGAAAGACACGTGCAAATTTATCAAACAAGATTCATTCTTTTTAGGGTTTATTAATTGCAAGTTATACCCGGCGCACAGACACTTGAAGGGATTAAAATAAAACTTCTTACTACTGCTTGACTATATATTTTAATCCCTTCAAATGCCTGTGACCCGGCGTTGCGCGGGTGAAAAATCTCCAATTAATTGTCAAAGAGCTGAGGGTTTTCACTAGTTAAAAACTAGACAATGAAAAGGAATATATCAATATCTTGAAAATTTTCATTGCCACTGTTGTTACGATAGTAAAACAAAGCCTCGATTATCAATTTTTAAATTAAATCATTAATCACCAATCGGGATTAAATCCGTTGAAAATCTCCAGCATCCGATGCCATCGAGAGTTGATTGTGGTCTTGACAAGTTAATAAATGTCTAATAATTTAGATTACATTTCAGGCCTAAAGAAAGACCAGCAATTGGCAGATTTCGCTCTTGCATAATGTACATGTATCTTTAAATAATGTTCAAAATTAAATAGCACCTTGCAACAGTAAAAGTGCAACCATTTATTTGGTGTTCTACAGTGAACAAACAATTTAAACTTTACATCTTTGCATATAATATATGAGATTGTCAATCCTGTCGCCTTGATATCTGTTAAGCAGGGGACTCCAAGTTCTATATATGGCAAATCCGTTCAAGTTTTACGCCGTGCAATTTCACATTAAAGTAATAAATATTTTTATCTTTTTTCGGTCGTTTTTCTTCTGCCTACCGTACGTATTAGTCGATGACACGGGTCTTCTTTCATAGATAGATGTAAAAATATGTTTAACGAGTGCGTTTTTATTGTTCAAATAATATGAGCTAAAACCGGTTTTGCTTGTTAGCGTAAATATTCAAAATGTGCCTTGAGTGTCATTCACATGTTTAAGGTTAAAAAGAACACCGTTTCGAGTGGGTAAGCATGCGAATACGCGTAGGAATATCGCGTACTTTTATAAAGACACAGAAAGTGGATTTGCACGCCCGAGAGAAGACGGAGCAAGATAAATTTACCCTTCTATCGGCAATGGACGGCAGGACCTGTACTCAATGAAACGTGACAGTGATAACTGTTCTGTTATGTTGAGGAATTTGTCAAGTGATCGGCTATAACTAGCCAACGTGTACCATTGACAATGAATGACATGCCTCGCGGCTCGTTATACAATGATGTATAAGGGTGAGGATTACGGTCAAACCGGAATAATAAAAAAAACCATACAACATTAGCGTTGTTGTTCTTTAAGCAGGGATATTCATAGCATGATACTAATTTATGTCAGATAGATCAATTATTCGATCAGGCCCAGCTGCAGGTATGGGGCCGGGAAAAGTTTGATTCTTGACAGGGTTTGGTTATTGCAATTGACAAAGAATTTTGATTTGAAGTTGGATTCTAAAGCATAATACTAAAGGCACAACATGCCAGATCATTCAAATATATCTCAAAATAATATCTACATTATAAATATCTTTATATAGAATGCTGCAATATTTGTAGCCGTGAAATTGATACACTATTTGAGGCTTTGAACAATTGCAAAATTTTCAACACATATCATCACAGTTTGCATGGAAATAAGTAATTATGTTACTACAAGTGAAGAATGGAACACTGAAACCGTAATCTTATCTTAACAGTTTTTCTGTATTTTCAAGTGACATAAAATCATGTGATTCTGGTTCAGCGGTCCTAATAATCACCGATTAAGTGTTTTTTTGTCAATATCGCCTAAATATTTGCAAAACATAACCAATTGGGAAAGATATATTAAAGAAATGCATATATTCTACACATCTTATCCAAAATTGATACAAATGAAGAAGTTTCCAAGATCAGAGAAAGAGAGAGAGATCCATAACACAGGACAGCGGGGCTACATGCTTATCTTATTTAAAATCCATCTGTTATCAAGGGTTCTTTTACGTGCACATGAATATGTATTCCTCTTATCAACTGATAAAAACAGATTTTTGGGAAAGATATGAAACAGGGTTTAACATCCTACCATTCTGCACTGAGCTAATGAAGACTGACACAATCTATGTAGTGAACCATTTTGCCAAGGGCAGATCTCAGTTTTTCATCCCATCCATTCCAAATGACCAGGCACTTTTCTCTTGTCAGGCCATCAGTTTTGCACCAATGACAAGGAAAATCAGGCAGGAAAATCCTGAGGAACTTTCTCGACAAACCCAATATGAACAACCCAGGAAATGGTTACTTAGCCAGCACCCTACTCACTAGGCAACGGTGGCTCTGTTATGACAAAGAATATACAAGTCTCTCTTAGTTTGATTTTATTTTTAATTCATGATGAATTTTTTTCAATTGCCACAAATATCTACATAAAAACATGTTTAATTTTATTTTATCTCATATGAAACATATCATTTTTAATATCTGCAGTAATAGCTTTCTAAGAGACAAAGTCAAGCAGCAATATTTTTCAACCATGGGCTAGAAATCACACAATATGAAGAATTCTGACCAAAGTGTAAAGAATTCAGACCACAATATGAAAAATTCTGAGTTAGCATTTCTAATGTCTAAATCAAAGTGATGTTCTAACTGACAATGAATGATGAAGAATCAGTTTAACAATTTTAATCATATTTGGTTAGACCTAATCCCTTTTCTATATGATAGGTTGCCAGGCACTGAAGCATACGCCCACATTAGCTAGTCATCCGTGCAGTCTGTAAAGAGTGCAATACACTCTGAAATTAACTTTAGTCTTTAGGGCAATAACTCTGTGTAGGTCTAATTATATATCATCATTGAAAATCAATAGGCTGCATCTTGTTATTAGAAACAATTTTCAAGTCAATCCGCTTGTAAATTAAGCAACTATAATGTCCACAAGACATATCAAAGACCCATAACTCTGCAAGTAATTATCAAAAATTTCCAAGAAACAGGAAACAAAATTATCATAATTGATCAGATGTAAAATGCTTTTTAAAAAAATAATCTCAAATAACTAACATTAAAATTGATCTGGCTAAAGGCAAGGCATTTTGTAATCTAAATTAAGCATTTGTTTATGCTATCTCAATATTTTGTTATCTAAATTAAGCATTTGTTTATATATTATTTCAATACTTTATAATCTAAATTATAACATAAAATTAAGCTAAATCCACATTATTTTTCCACTGAATCAAAATTGTTTATGTCCATTTAGAATCCAGACATAATCACTTGTTCCTCTTTACCATCTTTAGTCTGAACAGAATAGTGCTAATTTGTAAACCGTATCAATGTTAAAACAGAGATTCTTTTACATCTTTAGGGTTCTTCAGTATGATAAATGAACAATCCCTGAAGAGCTGTTCTCAAGAAATTGTGGACAGATGGACTGGCCGAAGTGACCACAATATATGTCCATGTTGCAGAATTTTGATATTCTATGAGTACACTACAAGATGCTTAAAGCACTTGTAATATTTCTGGTAAATGTCAAAATAATCTTAAACCCCGTTGTGTGAGCATTATATTTGATCTAGGCCACTTGCTAGTTTTTCGTAACAATAAGCTTTCCCAGAATATATACAAGTATGAGTTTACTATGGACCAGGAACTGAGCATAACGTAATCGCAGCCATCTTGGAATTATGACATCATGTCAAAAATCAAAGTCTGTCAATCAAAGGAACAAGCATGTCAAGTTTCATGCCAATTGAACTTGACCTGGCGGAGCCTTAGGCTTTTTTGAAAAGCATCACACCCAAGAACAACATATTGAATAGCACTTTGGGTCCAATTCCTTGTCCAAAAATTAAATACAAGTAGCACTTAATCATGATATAAACAATGAAAACCAAACATGAAATACACAATAATTTGTAATACCATGATATTTTTTTCTTAATTTACAGCTCTCAATAAGCAAGCCACCATTTGCATTATAATAACATATTTGGGACCTCTTTTCACCATATAAACTCTATGTTCAAGATTAAAATGTACATTATGTACAACTAAGATTAAATGTCTTTTCATTCAGCTCACAGATTTCAAAGTTACACTAATATGAGACAAGTCTAGCATATATCTGAAATTAAATAAAAACAAACTTATGATTAAATATGTAATATGAACTAAAGTATAAAACCAAATTCTTTGATATTTTATATTCTTATTTTAGGTAAATATTACATATCATGAGATTTAATCAGCTTTGGACAGGTAGAGCCCTGAACTGGAAGTGGTATAATTTTGAAAATTAAAGTATTTTAACCCCGAAACTGAAAGTGGTATAACTCTGAAAATGAAAGTATTTTAACTCGGAAACAGGAAGTGGTATAACTACGAAAATGGAATTGATAGTGCAACACCACCTGGCCTATGTCACTGCTCCATATACCCCAAATTTCATCATTGGGAAAACCCTAGTGTAACTGCCAACCTCAAACAGACAAACGTCAGTCACAATCTATATATATAATCTGTTCTGTTCGTAGGTGCCACATTATTACAAATATTTCAATTGTCAATGAATGAATCAACTTCAGACTCCTACCTGTTAAATTTGTTACTAAATACCACAGCGTGTTCAGGATTTTGAAAAGTGACTATAGCCTTCTTTGATGCCGGAAACATCTGAATATTCTAGAATAAAAAATACAGGTGGAGTAAAATAAAAAATCGGATAAAAATTGTGACCTCTAGAGGGCCCACAAACTTGTGTACAAGGGAGCAGCCATTTTGACAATACTATTTTGGAAATTGAAACTCAATCGTCATTATGGTGTAACAGTGATATATAATGATATTTAAAAACAAATAAAGATTTTAACCTCTAAAAGTGTACAGAAGCTAATAACGTGATTTTTCCTATAATCCTGGAAGTTAATTTATTTAACATTTGAAGCCAGAAAAGCCTGCAATAAGCAGATTTAGTTCTTACATAATGTATCTTTAAAGAAATACTTACTTCATATGTGCCAACACTCCTACATAAATTAGCTATTTGAGCTTTAGTTGTTGATGCTGATAAATTACTGATAAATACTTTATCTTTACCACCACTTAATACCTACAAAATATATCAACAACTGTAAAATAAAGTAAGGGGTGTGTGTGTGTGTCAGGTGGTCGAATGGTTAGCACATGCACGCTGTATCATAAGGTCTGTCATTGAATCAACCGGCGTGGCAAGAAGTAGGGTCACCTGTCCAACCTTGTGGGATTTCTCCGGGTCCTCTGGTTTCCTCCCATTGCTAAAGACCCCTACGTGCATGTGAATTATTGAAATAAAATTGAACCGTATGTTAGTCCAGAAATGACTTAGTTTGTGTCAAGTGGACATTAAACTCCATTTCTCTCTCTCTCTCTTCACAATTATAAAATAACTTTTCATCATAACCTTCTGTAAAAAAAAGATCTATTGTTCACATTGTAAGCAAATTTTAACTCACTATACTCACCAGTAAGGGTTAGAATATTTGTTACTGGGATTTATAGTTATTGAGATACAAATAAATTTCTAAAACGTGGCAGCCACCTTGAAATCCAATATGGAGGTGGTTTTACCAAATCTCCAAAATATTCCTTGATATTGAAAATATGTACATAGACACTGGAGATACTGTTCGAAATGCAGTAGAATTGGAGAATTGAACAAAAATAGGTTATTTAGATGACCATTTTGGAATTCAAAATGGCGGCCACCAGGGTGCCTCATTTTTCGGGAGTCCAATTTTTTTTTAATGATCCTTACATATCATAGTACCCCTGGTGCAAAGTTTCATACTTTACTCAAGAAGTTAACGATTCTAGTGGAAATCACTCCTTTTCACTCTATTATACTTTTTCATTCAGCAGCCAAATATCATATACCTGTACCTTGTAAGAAGCATGTGCCTTGCTATACTAACATCAATCTGAGATATGGCCCTCAGGGGTTTGGGATGGCCTAGAGGTCTAGACTCTTGTGCTTCGAGCTCCAGCTGGCTGATCACCTGTGGCTTGTACAGCTCCTACGGCTGGTCAGATAATGGTTAGAATTTGACGGTTATAGTATAGTATAGCGTGCATGCGAGTAATGACTCGCACCTCCTGACAAGGTCTAATATATGTTGAAAATTGATACCAAACGGTTAAACATTTACTAACCGATTAACCCATTTTTGACAATAGCGAAACAACTCGCACCAAGTGACTCATGGTAGCGAATCAATTCCCAGACCCATCATACTTTGCAATGGCATTAGCGAACAAAAGCGCCAGATCAATCAACAGATTTCTATTGTTTTTATTTCATAAATTAATGGTGATTGAGTAATAAAAATAAAGCCCCCAATGGCAAGAAATGTTATATTGACCAATTATCGAATAAAAAACATACGTTTCAACAAAGGATCTTCCAGAATTTATGTAATAGGTCAGAGCTGAAAATTCACACCATGTCAATGACTTTGGCAGTATTCCAATATTTTCAAGTTGTCACTTACGGCTAATAATTTTATGATATGAAAAGTGAAATGGAATCAGATTTTTTAAGATTTACTGCCAGGCATATCGTAGAATATGATAATGTCGAAGAAATCAACTATTTGTTATTTTTTTTGGCGTTATGATGCGAAGAATACAGATACTCGAGCTGAGTGACGGATCACTTCATCGCTATCTCGGCATTTTAACATTTCTGCCTTTCTTTGGATACGGTACGATAGCACAAAACTTACGGCTAATAATTCTAGACTTTGGAAAACTAAATTGAATCAAAACTTTTGGGATTTAATACAAGCTACATAGAGGAATATTACATTGTCGAAGATTTCAACTATACATTTTTATTTTTGATGCAATAAAGCAAAGAAGAAGACCATTCCCGTCATATATCCAAAGAAAGGCAGAAATGTTAAAATGCAGAGATAGCGATGAAGTGATCCGTTACTTGGGGAGATATTTCTTTTTAAAAGTTATATTTACATTTACTTTGAACACTGCTGCCAACGTGAGGGACTATATTTGTGTTCTATTTTTTAAAAAAATTATTAGGGGATACTTGTTCACATTATTTTACCATTATGACAGAGAAAAGTCACAATTTTAGTGGAACTGACTTTTCAATGTTATTTATAGTAATATAATTACTACTTTTTACAATTGAATTTTATATCATTGGAAAGAACACGACAATCTGTACATTTTTGTAACAAAGTATTTCTATGTATAGAAAATATTTTGTTAGTTATTTGCAATTTTGTAGAGGGTATTAGGATTAACAATAATCCACTAATTGGCTTAGGGAGATGGGCCCTGCTGATTAAATTAGCTTAGGGGTAGGGTAGCTAATTTTTTAATTGGCTCAGGGTTAAATGGGTTAATAGCTACAGTTAGTCAAATAACAAAAAGTCCTAACTGTAAGAGCACTACTGGCTTGATGTCATGGTTTCGATTTCTGGTGTGAGCACATGTGGTTTGGAGATAGGGGCGGGCGCTTTCTCAACTCCATGGATTTACTTCGGGTACTTAAGATTTTCTTCCAAAAGAAAGACCATTGCAAGTGCGCTGAATACATTAAAATATGACAACTTGTCTGTGATATCACCCTCAGTGGAAGCAAACGTCGTTAACCCCTACAAACAACGAACAACGTTAGTAGCTAGGTCAATCAAAGAAAAAATACTATTTTGTTTACCTGTTTTAATGTATTTGATATAACAGTTCTTTTTCCTCCTTGAATAACTAATCTATTAGCAGATGATACAGCATTCATACCACTGGGAGCACTTTGTATTTTTCTAATATTGTTTATATTCACTTTACCAGTACTTTTATTAACCACACGTTTAATTTGTTTCGGGTTGTTTAAACGAACCTGTCTTTTCTGAGGATTTAAAATATTAACTCGCTGAATATTGCCTTCATTAGGACTTGGATTGTCTTGTGAAACACTCTGAATGTTTGGATTACTCTGTGTTTGTGGCGGTTTTCCCGAACCGATTAAAGGTCGGGGAGGTCTTTGATTCATATTTGGACCTCTAGGACCACCACTTTGTGGAAAAGCAAACTGTTCATTGTTAGGAGTCCTTGGACGAAACTGTTGCCGCACACCAGGTGGACAATTAGGTCTTCGATTTCCAAACGACTGCATACCAGGATTTCTCATATTAGCACCAGATGGCAGTCTTTGAAGTTGATTTGGATTTCCAGGGCGATTTTGTCGTGGTGGACCAGGATGTCGCATTCTAAAATCGTCATGAGGCATTCGTGGAGGCCCTGGATGTCTCATAGGTCCTGGTGGCCTCATACGTGGATTCTGAGCATGAGGAGGACCTTGTGGGTTGGGATGTCTCATTCTAAACTGTCCTTGTAATAATGGTGGGGGGCCATGTTGTTGTTGATGATGCTGTTGATGATGCTGTTGCGGTTGTTGATGATGTTGTTGCTGTTGTTGTTGTTGATGCTGTTGTTGATGATGATGGGGTTGTTGTTGATGATGCTGTTGTTGTTGATGATGTTGGGGATTCTGCATTCTAATACCTTGTCCATCTGTACCCCTTCCTCTGAGCACAGGATTATTTTGGTTGAGTAAACCTGGCTTTGGTTTGGGCAATCTTTGTGGATTTCGATTAAATGGAGGTCTTGCATTTAGTTGAGGGTATGGTTTAACTATTTTTTGTGGGGGTGTAGTTGCAACTGGAGCTGTTTCAACCTTTTCGGTAAGATTTTTTTCATTTTCACTACTTGAATCTCCTACCACATCTGCTAATGTTAAACCTACAAAGAAATGAAACGAACTGTTTAACGTCCTACTTTTCAGCACCGACTTGGTAAAGGAAGAAAGACGTACGCTATTCAGTGTGCTATGAGAAATATTTTGCCCGTATGGTGGCACTAGGATCTACCCTTTTTTTTAAATTCTGCCAAGGGATCTTTTATGTTTTATGTATGTGCATGTGCATAAGGACCATCATATCAATTGAATGAATCACGAGATTGTCTAGCAGTTTCCATTCCACTCAGCTGTACAGTGCCCCATGCCTGTACTGCAACAACTATATGCACCCACCCCATTGATACCCCCCCCCCCCCCGATAATTGCCCTAAGACAACTGTTCTGTTATTCCTCAAACAATTGACCTATGGCAACTGTTCTATCCTCTCACCATTCAATTGCCTGCCAAATATATAATAGCTTTAAGATATAGTTAGTTTCTTTCAAAATTATTTGGATTAGAGAACAATTGACCGTGCCTAGTCTGCTACAAACTGATATTTTTAGATTTCAAAACATTTAAAATTCATAACTCTACTATTCTCTTTGACAAATCTAATACTACCATATACACATTCATTATACAACAGATTTCAACAAAACAATTTGTTTTGGAAAGTTACCTTTGGCAGCCAATCGTTCTTCAAGTTCTTTTTTACGTTTAGCAGCAGCAATTCGCCTTTTCATTTCTTTCTGTTTGATTAGTTTTTCTCTTAATTTCTTCTGTTCTGCTATTTTTTCATTAAGAATGATTGTCTCCTCATCTAAAGGTTCCTATTTAGCAGAAGAAAATTCAGTGAACTAACAAAGCAATGGAATAGACAGTAATGTTTTTTTTTAAAATCTGCATCATGTGGAACCCAATTATGAATTTTGTTTGAAAGTTGTGGTCTAAGGGGAGACAATAGCGGTACGTGGACGAGTTCCCTCCCTTGATAAGACAATAATGTATGAAACTTTCAATCATTTTCTATTTACTGCCTAGAAGGCTTATTCTTCAGGAATTTAGAGCTAAAGAATCTCTTGCAAACTACAATATTGTGAAAGGAATGTTAATCCACAAATGGATCAATTTAGATCAGTAATTATAAAGTATACGACAAATTGAAATTTGCATCATTGTATACTTCTCCCAATGTAACAAGAAGCCACCATCTTGTCTTGAACCAATTTTGATGAGATTGTTTTAAATCTGACTGAATTCAAGGCTGGAGATTATATCTAGTGTTGGTATTTTGATTTTCTTTTATTAATTGCAACATATTTCTTCATATAGAATTATTTCTGAAACATTGTATGAAACTATTCAAATAATCAAAATAATATTACCACTTCTGTAGATTTTACATCTTCTGCTTTGGCTATTTTTTCAGGAATGATCTCTTCAGTTTCTGACGTTGAAAGTCGTTTTTGGGCTTGGGCCGGAACATTGAGCTCTGCTGGTTTACTTTTTTGAGATGCTACATGTTGACCCCTACCCCGACCTCTGTAATCAAATAATTAAATTGATCACAAGAAATTCTAAACTATTTTGACCAAAAATGTTCTTGTTTGTCTGAAATATTTTGGAAATGGTAAATAATGGCTTCTTCTGAATCTGCTTGGATTTTTACACACATTCAAAGCAAAATTCAATCTAAAAGATTGGATATCATATAACAAACCTTCCCATTTGTTGAAATTGTTTACGTGGACTGTTTGAAAGAAAGTGACGAGGTGGGTTTTCAGGTTGTGCCATCCTCTGCTGATTTTGGTGAAATGGTGCCTGAGGTCGAGGCATTGGCATTCTTTGCATTGGAGGTTGATTTGGGAAACGACCGCCTTGTTGTAATAATGGTGGTGGTCCTCCTCTGCAAAACAATCAAATAGAAATATTAAAGACTCATCAGTCACCAACATCAAGAACCCTTCTATAACAAAAACTCATCAACATCAAGAGTCCTTGTATGACAAAAACATGGAAACAAAAAACTATTAAATTAGCAACACACAAAACTTTCTATGATGGTAAAATTTTAGGTTATATTTCATTTTCAAGAAATGAATTCTCTTAATCAGCTACGAATAGTGAATGTGAAGTCAAAAGAAGGATTTCAGCCTACAGAAAGAAATCGGTTATAACATCCACTCAACACAAGCCAAGTTTTTTTGGGACTAACATGGTTAATCTTTATTTAAATAATTTTCTAGCACACAGGGATCTTTAGCAGAGGGAGGAAACCAGACAACCAGGTCAAAACCCCCCATGGTTAAATAAGCAACTCACTTGACCAAGGACAAACCTATTAAAATGAAATGAGGTTTAATGTCTAAATTTTCTGCTCCACCAAGGCTAATGAAGAAAGCCCTACACCATGCAGAGTGCAATGAGGGAAATTTTACAGACTACTCTTATTTCGAAATCCAACTGTCCAACTATGTGTACACCAATGTGTACAAGAGACCTCAGTTTTTGGTCCCATATGAACAACTAGACAGTTTTCAGCTGTCCTGCACAAATGACAAGGAGAAACCATGGCAGAGAATCTGGAGCAACTTTTGTGGCCCCCTAAATTCGAAATTGGTGAGTCACCGCATCTCAAAACAGTCCTAATGATCTAAAGTGCATACTTATATCACCCCCAGCCCATCCTCCTGTGTTTATTACTAAGTTTAAAGTACCTGATGGGTTGCGGATAAGGAGAATCTGGACGATACTGATTCATTAAAGGTCCTCTACCACCTGGAACAGATAACAACGGAGCTGGCATTTCATTCCCTAAACCTGGATGTTGAGGACCTGAAATCATGTAAATTTCACACCATGTCAATAATAACATAACACTTTTGCTTCAAAATTCTGACAGCTGATCAATTTGATGCATTAACATATTATGGCATGCTAAAGGTAAGTTCTCTAAGTGGTCAATTTTACTTCCACTTTGTCAATATTGGTAAATATAACTGAAACAAGAGACCTGGTTTAAATTGTTCACATGGTGACTCAATCCTATGAAACTTCTCGTATAAGAAATGAAATGAAATGCTGTTAACATCCTACTGTTCTGCTCCGCCTGGGCTAATGAAGACAGGCAGAGGGAAATTTTGCCCGACAGCGGCGCTATGGACATTCTATTTCAATGTGTACACAGGACCTCAATTTTTTGTCCCATCTGAACGACCAGACAGCTATCCCTGTCAGACCCTCCATCCTGCAACAATGACAAGGGGAAACCATGCTGGAAAATCCCAATGAAATCGGCCAATACTTTGTGAAAAACAAACAAGAAATATCAAGCCAAAAAGATAAACAAAGTCAAGCCATTACTAACCTGCTCCTAACAAAGATCTTGGTTGATAAGGTGAATGCTGTGGAGGAAATGATGGTCTCACAACCATATTTGGTAATCTGTTCTGCTGTAAAGGTGATCTAAAATCTGTTCTAGGATCTGTAGAAAGAAAATTAGTTTCATGAAATAAAATCTTTGATTATAATAATGTTGGTAAAGATAGTATAACAGTTGGTTTTAAAATATTCAAAATGAAACATCAAATTAAATCTGGCATAATTAACAAAATAATTTGAATAATGTTTAATGTATTTTAAATTCTTACACCATTTTTAGACGGTTGAAGGAGTTTTTCTCAAAAACCAACTGGGATAATGAAGACGGGCATTCTTGCCTTGACAGTGGCACTATGGTCTACTCTTACATTAAATTCCAACCATCAAGGGTTCTTTTACGTGCACAACAATGTGTTTTTTCAATTCATCTGAACGACTAGACACTGTCTTGCCAGGCCCTCCATCCTGCACCACTAACAAGGGGAAACCACTCTGGAAAATCCTGGGGAACTTTCTTAGCTAAAACAGAACTGAACCACGGACCCCTGGTAAATGCATGAGCCAGCACCTCATTCACTGAGCAACTGTCTCACTCACTGATCCACTGCACCTCACTGCATCCATCAAGATTCAAACAAAATAACTAACCTTGAAAATGTTGTGGTGGACCACCATGATGAAAACTTTGTATTGGTTCAGAATGACTAACAGGCAGATAAGAAGCCGTTGCACTATGGGGAGTCCATGTCTGTGATGATGCTGTTGTAAATGGTGTTGTCTGTAAACATGATTTAAATGAAATGAAATGAAATGGGGTTTAACGTCCTACTGTTCTGCTCCTATACTGGGCTAATGAAGACTGGCATACGAATTCCAACTGCCAGGGGATGTAAACATGATTTAAAGTTCAATCAAAAATATAACTTCATTGTACAGATATTAATTTTGCATTTTCTATTTTTTAACTATTATAACAAGAATGGTCAGCTTTTTATCTAAATCTTACATAATGTATCTTTAAACTTTTTATTCACGTTAATAATAAATGTTGGTCTGAAGCCTTCTCCAGTTCTTTGTGATAAACTAAATTACTTCCTTTTATTAATTGAAGTCTTTGATCCTATAAGGATTTAGGAATGGTGTGAGCTGTAAGATGGCTATAAAAGAAACATTACCTGACTAGTAGATAACAGCATGTCTAATGGGTGGATATTAGACTTTGTTTTTGATTGTGATGAGGGCTCTGTCTTTCTAGGTACATGTGATGTGCACACTGGATCAGTAGGTAGCTTCGCTTCAGCCCATGAAACTTGTGGAGGGGGGCCCTTGGGTTTAAAGTGGGGATTTAAAAGAATTTTTCTTGGAGTTGACGATTTTCCTGAAAATTCAAGTTATAACAAGAATGTTTACAATCAGATATATAATATGCTAAAAGATATGTTGCCAGTCAACAAAACAGATACACTCTCCATAACTCCATAAAGCTTGTGGAATCATGACTAGATTTGTGTCCTTAAACTGATTAGATCTCACATGAAATGGGGTGTAACGTCCTACTGTTCTGCAGTGCTAATGAAGATGGGCATACACCCATATGGGGTACTATGAGGGAAATTTTGCCCTGACAGCAGTGCTATGGCCTACTCTTATATCTAATTCCAACTGCCAAGGGACTTTTTATGTGAATGTCAATTTGTACATGGGACTCAGTTTTCCGTCCCATCTGAACGACTAGACAGCTGTCCTTGTCATGCCCTCCGTCCAGCATCACTGACAAGGGGGAACCACTCCGGAAAATCTGGATGAACTTTCTAGGCCAATGCAGGGATCGAACAAACCGACCTCCAGGCTAGCGAGCCAGTGTCTTTCCACGTAGCCACCGTGACGTGACCCCCCTGATTAGATCTCTTTGAGTTGGATCAAAAATATAATTATCGATTTCATTAGATTTTATGTTTTAACCTTCACTGTAGTGTGAGAACTGCTCTGAACACACAGTTATATGTCATCATCAGTTATATCCAGATTTATATCATTCATTTTCTCATAGTACACCAGATTATATACGATTTAATTTCTCATCAAATAAAAAGAAGAATAAATATCACACGATATTTTGTGTTCTCTTAATTTTTCATTTAAGAAAAAGAATGGTATATGGTACACAATAAGTTGTTTTCTCTTAAAACTAAACAAGATTATATACAATTTAATTTTTCATCAAACAAAAAGAAGGATAAATAGTACACAATAATTTTTTTTCTAGCAGGACAAAAGTTTATATTTACAATCTAATTTTTCATGTAAGAAAAGAGGAGGATAAGTATTACCTTGAACCGGTTGAGAGGTTGGTGGAGGACTATTTTGCAATTCTGGTTCCGTAACATCGTCAGATAAAGCATAGTCAGGGGGTATGTGATGATCTGGTATGAGGTGGTCGGGGGTAATGTGATGATCTGGGGGTATATGGTGGTCAGGGGGTAGATGGCCTGGAAGGTTATGATGCTCAGGGGGTAGATGGTGGCCTGGAGGGTTATGATGTTCAGGAGGAATATGGTGTTCTGGGGGAGTATAATATACAGATACTGGGGGTTGGTGATAACTCACTGGGGTCGAATACTGTTCTTGGTTCATCTGATGACTTGGGTGGGATGGGGGACCCGGAGTTAGAGGATTAAACGGTTGATCAAACCCTTGATAGAGGGGTCCCTGAACCTGATAAGGTGGGTTTGGTGGCCCTCCCATATGATACGGGGGATTATATGGCCCTCCATATGGATGACGTGGGTTATAACCCTGATGACGTTGAGGTGGATAGCCATGTTGTTTATCCATCAACCCGGGAGGACCACGTCTATCTTGATTACGAGAATTATGCCCCATTCGATCAGATCTACCTCTACCCTTTCCAAATTTTTTACGTCCTTGATTATCCATAAAATCATCTATCTGGGCTTGCTGTTCTTCTGTAATCTCTGTCGTAGAAATATATAAACAAAATTAAGAGCAAGACACCAAGAGGTTTACAAACACAAAAATTGTTCTACATACAGTCCCAAAGAGTAAACGTGAAATAACGGATTGATGTTTCTCATGGTGGTTGTGATCACAGTATAGATATAAACTATAGAGGTTGTCGGCAGGTGTCAAACAACCAACAGCTTCTGAACGACAAAAGTCAAACATGTAAATACATTAAACTCTCAAAATAATTAATGAACATGCTAATTTCAGGCTCTGAGCATGGTATTTACTAGTAAGGATTATTAACATCATTAACAGACACCTGAGTAAATTTTTGGTTATAACAACTAGTCTGGTTGTCATGGGCTTGCTGTAGTTAAAGATTATATGAAACAGGGGGGTGGGATGGCCTAGTGGTCTAGAGTAGTACAGTTTGAGCTCTAGTTGGCTAGTCACCTCTGGCGTACGATCATGGTTTCAATCCCTGGCGAAAGCATATGTGGCCTTGAGATAGGTGTACCTTTTCAACCTTGTGGGTTTTCTCCCACAGGAAAGACCCCCTGCACATGTGCTGAGCATAAGAAAATAAGACCACTTGTCTGCGATATGACCCTTGGTGGGAATGACCGTTAAACACTAATAAAAGAAGAAGAAACATGAGAGAAGAGAGAGAGAGAGAGAGAGAGAGAGAGAGAACACACAAACTAGGTCATTTCAAGACTAAGATATGTTTTTTAATTTTATTTCAATAGTTCGCTTGCGCGTAGGGGTCTTTAGCAGTGGGAGGAAACCAGAGGACCCGGAGAAAACCCACGAGGTTGGACAGGCGACCCTACTCCTTGTCACGTACAACCGGGGATTCGAAACCACGCCAGTTGACTCAATGACAGGCCTTATGATACAGCGCGAACATGCTAATCATTCGGCCACCCAACCCCCCTAAGAAGAAACATACCTAGTGTATCTGGTATGTCTGTTCTACTAATAGACGATGACTTAGTAACTGTAATGGATCTTTCTGTTTTAAATCTACCACGACTTTTCTTATCTCCATCGCTATCACTATCACTTTCACTTTCTTCCTCATTTGCTTCATTTACATCCAAATTTTCGTTCTATAATAAAACATAACATACCAATATTAACAAAAAATAGAAAGTCTAGTTGGGTTTTAAGTGCACCATCAAATGTATGAAATAATTATATTAATTCTTAGCTTTCATGTAAAAGGCTCAACTGAAAGTGTAGTTGGATTTTAGGTGCACCATCAAATGAATTAAATAATTATATTAATTCTTAGCTTTCATGTAAAAGGCTCAATGAATAGGACTAAAAAGGGAAATGGAATGAAGCTTCCTATCTGTATAACCAAGTAAAATATTGTACATGAGTGGGGATTAATATAGGCTGTGTCTGTTCCCCAATCCCTATTCAGATAAACATCTGAATAATAATATTGTTTAGAAAAAAAAATATATACATGGTGTCACTTCTCATTCATTAGAAATGTTTACATGTTATAGAGGCCCATCAGAAGATTATATGCAAAACTAACAGGTGGCACTGGCTTGTTTATTTCATATGCAGAGGATGTGAAATGTTGCACAATTTTAAATTTATTATATCCTGGTAAATACTAAACAAAATTTAACAATTTTTGGACTGATATTCAGAGATTCCATTTTCACAATATTGTAGTTTGCAAGGGATTCAAATTTAGTAAAAGGATGAATGGATGATCAGTGGCTTTAACTCATTTTCAAAATGGTTACATACTTCAATTTCATCTTGATTCATAGTTTCATCAGCTGTTACTTCAGATGTTTCTAATTCTTGATCGGTTTCAACAGCACTCATGTTCTGTCCCTCTCCATAGCTCATATTTTCCCCAGTTGAAAGTTCAAATTCCTCCCCTCCATATTCCTCAAATTCTTCATCATCAACACCTATTTCAAGGGCATCTACATCTTCCTACAAAAACATATAATTGTGAATTTATTCTGTGTAAACAAGAAAGTTTCCTACAACATCTACAGTTAAGTAAAAATTAAATCTAAAGGAATAGCTATAAGAGCATCTAGAAGAACTGCCAAAACGAAAATCAGCTGTATCTTCACACAGACTACCATATATATTCTGTATGCTCAGTTAACTTAAAATTTCTCATTACCATTCAGGTTTTCAGAACACATTCAATTTTATGTGATACCCGTTACCAAGATCTTTGACCAATCAGAAATAATATGGTTGAAGATTTTCAAAAAAAAAAACATACTCACATATTAATAAACAAGCCAATAATGAGCCTGATGTCCCCCCGCCGAAATTGCAAAATAAATAGATGACACATATTAATTAATCGCACATTTATTTTTTTTCCTTAAGTTTCATCACTCTCTATCAGATAGAATCAAGATTATCTTGTCTCAAACCATCGACAAATGAAATCAATTAGCTCTGCTTAGCTTCAGCTCAAAATGTTAATCATTGAACTCAGTCAAGACATTCACATAATGAACATCTACATCAAGTTTAAACATTCACCTAATAGACAAAGGGGGTTGGGATGGCCTAGTGGTTTAGAGAGTCGCGCTTCGACCTCTAGCTGGCCGGTCACCACTGGCTTGCGGCTGTGGTTTCGATTCCTGGTGTGAGCGTATGTGGCTTGGAGATAGGGGCGCCTTCTCAACCTTTCCCACAGGAAAGACCCCTGCACGTGCGCTAAGATAATAATAATACAAAAAAAAGACTTGTCTGCGATATCACCTTCAGTGGAAGAGGACGTTAAACACTAAGAACAACAATAGCCTAATAGACACCTATCGAACCTAGTCAAGGTATTGATATAATAAAGCTATACACCAAGTGCCCTCACTTCCACTTAATTAGTACTAAAGTTATTGTGTCCCAAAGCATCAAACAATCAAACTGCTTATCTCTGCTTACCCTAAGCAGAAAATTCTCATCTTCAAACTCCCATCAAGGAATTCACCTAATTGACACCTACGCCAAGTGTGAACATTCTAACTCAATTCGAATGAGAGTTATTGTGTTCCAAAGTCTCAACCAATCAAATTGCTTGTCACTCTACTTACCCTGAGCAGAAAATGCTCATTAACGAACTTAGTCAAGGTATTGATGTAATGAAACTATACACCAAGTTTCATCACTCTCACTTAATTAGAACTAAAGTTATCGTGTCCCAAAGCATCAACCAATCTAATTGGTTATCTCTGTTTAACCTAAGCCGAAAATGCTCATCTTCGAACTCCATCAAGGCACTGACCTAATAAACACCTACACCAAGTTTAGAAAGAGAGTTATTGTGTTCCAAAGTCTCGGCCAATGAAATTGCTTATCGCTCTGCTTACCCTGAGCAGAAAATGCTCATTGTCGAACTTAGTCAAGGTATTGATGTAATAAAACTATACACAAGTTTCATCACTCTCACTTAAATAGAACTAAGTTATCGTGTCCCAAAGCATCAACCAATCCAATTGCTTATCTCTGCTTACCCTAAGCAGAAAATGCTCATCTGCAAACTCCATCAAGGCATTGACCTAATAAATACCTACACCAAGTTTGAACATTCTAGCTCAATTAGAAAGAGAGTTATTGTGTCCCAAAAAGTGTGATGGACAGACAGACGGACGGACAGACAGACAGACGGATGAACCCATTTTAATAGTCCCCTGCTTTCTTCGATAGGCGGGGGACAAATATAATAAAGGATGATCCTACATGTAGATTGGATTCTGAGAAGATGAAACGCACATGGTGTGTTTGTTCTTTTTAACCTGTTGAAAGTCTCTGTAGAATGTTCTAGAAAGGATAACACCCCAACAATACAACATGGTGGAGATTTCTTTTGATCACCGAGTCTAGTAATGATGGTGATACGGTTTTAACCTACGGTGTTAAACATCTTGTCCAGTTTTTGTTTCTGAGTAAAGACACCACATCAGGAAGTTTCGATAAACGACTCCAGTTTTGCTGAAGAGCTCAGAGTAATAAAACCATAAATAAAACATGTACTGGTATCATGTATATCTTGAGCCATGCCACCAGAAGTTGAGAATTAAATATGAAATTGATGGATTTGACTATACCGGTAATTACCTGACTTGCTTCAGCGCCTTCATAGTTTGTGTCATGCTCTTCATAAGTCTGAGACTCATCGTAAGTTGTTTCTGATTCATCATAGGTTGTTTCAGCATTATCATATGATTCTTCATTCACATATGATTGTCTGATTATAAGAAAAAGAAATCATCAAATACAGTTACGATTGAACAAACAGGGAATTATGAAATAGCTAAATACATAATAAAATATACTAGAGTCACAGGGTAAGCTTATAACTAAAAGAATTTACAGTACGTTCCAAATTTTCACCACTTTCTACGGTGAAAAATAATGTGGTGGAATTAAGAGTTTAATTGCTGTGAAATAACTCTGTCAATCACATTGTTTTACCAAACTACTAACAACCAAGTCTCCCTAATTCTTTTAAATACACAGAATATATAATCGCCGAGATTAAAAAGGCTTGGCTAATTCTTACTGTTCGGGGTCAGCTTCATCACTATTTCCTTGATCTTCATTATCACTTCCTAACAGAGCATCTTCATCAAATTCATCTTCTGATTCTTCTCGCTGCATAGTAAAATATAATATCAGGTAAATGGCATACAAAATCTACAACTGAATACAGTTGTTAAGATATATATTTGGTCTCAAACCTCCAGTGATTTGTATTTGGTAAGCTGTCATGATTGTATCTAAAACACAACTTCCTGCAATTCAAAATCAGTAATTGCTCACCTTAGTTTTAGCAAATGCATTAATTCCTGGTAGATCATCTCTCAATAAATCATCATCACTGTAAGATATAAGTAGAAGATAAACACACTCAGTTTTGAATTTAGAGAAAGGGTGGGGTGGGGATATTGTCCATTTAACTATGCTTGAATAGTTAGAACACTGTCAGCACCAGTGTCCAGTTGTTCTAATGGATAGTAATTCGAAGATAATGGTTAAATAGACAATAAATCCCCAAAAAATTCATAACAGGATCTTGTTTATCAACATTGTAGTTATTTTGGGGGCTTTTCCCTGGAACTATTTAATAAACAATTTTACCCATTTTAAATAGTTATTATTTGGTCATGTGCATTCATACACAAGTGCTTTCATGCATTTTTCTAGGAGCATTTTCTTTTACAGCAAAACAATTTATTTTAGTAATGTTAAAACAACCTTACCTATCCCATGACGCTTCAGTTGGTCTTCGTCGAGACATATTGATAGTTTAGAATTAAACCTGCTTTTAATATGTCCACATACAAAAAGCATAACGATACACGCTGTAAAAAAAAAAAAAAAAAATCTCTAAGAATAATCTGAAATAAATATATCTCAGTATCTGACCCTTTGTTTACATGTAATTTACAGATGGCTACCGTAATGGAAAACATTATCTGAGCTGTTTTTAAGTCAGGTCTTTCTTAACATACTACGTAAGCTTACGGGTGAAGTGGCAGAAGTGACACTCTGAACCATTCCAAATGGTACATTGCAACTTATTATAATAATGATCTAATGTAAAAATAACAATTTGACTTAAAATATCAACAACAGACCCAAAGTCTAATTAAGAGGTAAGTAAAGTTAACATCTTTTCTTAATTTCATTTTTTGAAGTTGAAAAAGGGCACTTCTGAAATCATATGAATAATATTTGGCACATGGAAACCCCTGCACTACTTATACATATCATACATGAATTGTTTACCTTTCCAAAAAGTTACAAATATTGATACATTTATACGTAGGTGATACTGGTATATTGTCTTATTACAGAAGTTGTAAAAAGGTAGATGATGTAGCTGTTAGGTGCAATCTTCACCCCTCGCGCAGATTGCAATCTGCGCTGTCGTTCTGTGCAGATTGCACCCCGCACGTGCAGATTACAATCTGCGCTTATCAAGCTGGTGCACAGATTGCCAACTTCGCGCTGATTACCCCTCGATGTTTTTAGAGATCAGACGTAAGTATATATATGACCTGCCCCCTATCGACATTGTAGTGAAATAATTTTCAAAATCACTGCATAGTTAGCGTGTGTGCTTAGAAAATAAGATTATTAATTCTTGTCAGCAGTATCTCATAATCGGTGCTGACCATGTGACTGAATGTCAAAAATATTTGCTGTCATTGCTGTAAAGTTCAGTGTTATTTTTGTACAGTTGGCATAAATACATGTATAACAAACAGTTGACGGGGTTTTAAATATTTTATCAATATGCAATGTAACCTAAAGTTTCTGAATTCAGGTTCAGTGGTCACCATGGGTGAACGGATTATCATCGCGGCAATTCATTAAATAGTCCGAGCATGCACAGGGGTAATCTGTCCACGGAGGGTAATCTGCGCTCAACATACATGTGTAGCCTTGGAAAGGCATACTGCATGTAAGTAAGGTAGGCTACATGTGTGCTTGGAACATAATGTGTTAGTCCAAACTATCTGGCCCCTGATAACTTTTTATGTTGGCAAGGAACGCAGCAGAAGTCTTATACTTGCTTGTTCTTGGGACATTTTTGAAAGCACTGAATCCTTTGCTTAAATTTAGTCAGTAGTAGTACTGTCATAATAGAGTTCAATGCCACTAAACAATGTCAGCCTCACAACAGTACAGATATTTGAAGTAATTTGATCACATAGTGTTCACATAGTGTTAACACAGTGAGTTGAGTGGGGTAATGTTTAAAAGCTATAGAATATAAATCATATGCTTTTGATTCATTGTGCTAAGTTACTGTTACACCACTGACCATTAGGCCTACAAGTATCCACAATAAACAGATATTTCAGACTAGGATTCATCGTCAGTCTCTCCTTACCGTCATTCATCAAAATCCTTTAGGGTCTCAGGGGCCTGTTTCACGAAATTTTAACTAAAGATAAGATCCAAATTTTAGTAGATACATCAATTTTGATTGGCTAACCACTAAAATCAATCAAATATTATCCAATCAAATTACTAAAATTTAGATTTTATCTTAGTTAAAATTTCGTGAAACAGGCCCCTGGGCAGTTTGTGAGAGGGTCCCAAAAGGGACGAATTAGGCCTAAACTGGCTAAAGAATCCACGTTCAATGGTGGCAATACATTTCTGACAAGGTCCTCTTTAGTTCCTGTCTCTGATCGCACAGTGTCTGCTGACCGCTCCTATCCGTCCCTATAGGCCTATATAGCTACAATATGAAAATACCTCTCTTCCCCATCTGTTTCAAGGCTATTATAGAGACGGATGACATCGTCCGACCAGTGACCATTCCTAGAAAAGGCTAGAACTAGGTTCTCCTATGACATAAAATTATAAGGATTAAAGGAGTAGGCTAGGCGGTCAGCATGCTCTGCAGTAGTCCTGACTGAAGGCTACAGGGCGAGTGTAATGAGACCTACGTTCAGAGCTAAACTAGCGCTGCAGCTAACCATATTTTATTTTGATACAGAAAAAGAAAGAAAATAATTTATTATAGTGGCTTACAATTGCAGGAAATTAGGAAGAAAAAATTAACAAAAAAATATCGACTCGGGTCAGATTATGATAAGATTAGAAAAGCGAAGGTTTTCATTCCATCATTCTCCTGGTACGAACACAAGCGTTGAAATTGCATTGCTCTGAATTATTAAATACATACCGTGCTAATTCATTATGTAATTCATATAAATGACACACTTCTAAACAGCATTAAAATATGTAAATTATTGTTTTTAATCTAAGACTGAAAAAATGGAATACCAAAATGGCGTTACAGCCTTGACCTCTTGTCTCGATTATTTAGTCTGAAATTACGTTTGACTCACTCTGAGTTTGTTTTGCCTAAAGTTTTGGAGAGGAGGAAGAGGCAGCCATTGTTGTTATGGACGCTTACAACTTGAGGATTTATTAGTTTATTGAATATTTTGATTCCATTTGCGCGTAAATCGTAATATTATAGTCCGGAAGTCGGTCACTGAATTGCAGAAACAGGTATTTATGTTGTAGATCTAGGCTACAGTAAAAAGTTCACATAGACCTTTGGGTTTATTTTTTTCCCAATCAAGTCAAGTTCCTTTCCTTTAACTTTAGTGATTAGTCTACTTTAATTAGCCTACTTAATTGTGTGATTAGGCCGTAGTACTATTGTAGAAAAAAAATGTGTCTAGCCGAACTATGGACAAAAAACAAAACGTTTTTATTGATTTATAATTATTCTTTATTTTGATAAAATGACAAGATATAATCCATAAACTTGCTCACCACTCTAGATAACAAACCTTAATCTCTCAACCCTCCGATTTCGAGATAAGACATGAGGCCATTACCTTCAACGTAGCACATGTGGGAGCGATTCGCACCCGGCATTTGTAAACAAAATTGGCAATATTTTTAATAAAAACAACGATTGATTATTGTTATTTATAATATTTCTGCCAGACCCAACTACAATTAAGCATATAATCCTACCTGAAACGGGTACGAATTATAATAATAATTATAATTATATAATTATAGTAACTTAGATTTTTAAATTTTCATTGTTTGTAGTCTAATCAAATTATTCTTTTTTTTTTTCAGAATATGTCTTATGACGATGAAAATCTCGATTTTAATAAAATCGACAAAGAATTAGATGCTGCGGTAGAAGCTGATAAGCGATATTACAGAGAGAATGATGCAAAGTTTCGAGCTGTGCATCAAAAAGTTGCTACTTATGATGAATTTAGGTAAATTTAATAAGAGTAGTATCTTTTTGTCCTCATGATTAAAATCATTTGATATTTTTGAGATAACAGTGGACAAAATATTTTATTTCTGAGAGCAAACACGGTTCCAATAACATATTATAATATCATACATTTATACTACAAGTTTATAACCGTAAACTAGAGATTTATACAAAATGTTCAAACTACTTTAGAAGTGATTTCAGATGTTCTGGAAAGAGTAAGCTATATAACTTGAGATAAGTCTTTCGCTCCACTCTATACACAATTTATTCAATAACCACAAATATTATATCTCTATCTTCAAAGTAAGTCAACATGATTGCCTGACTATGAAAATGAATTGGGCTATAGATAAAGCTACACCAAATAAATGCATAGCCTTCATTATCCAATAAATGGTTGATATCTAACTTATTTTAAACAAACCCTAAAGTAATAAAGAAAATAAACAACATTTTATGGAACTATTCCACCATCATAGAATGTTCAGTGAGTCGGTTTCATTACCTGATAAATATCCAGTTCTAAATCTTAATTAGAAATAACATCCAACGTTCTTAGTTAACTTTTCCGCCAACATAATCTCCTAGTATATGAATTCAGATATCATGGAAAAGACAGAATTTATTATATCGTCTTTCATAAATTTCTGTATTTTGACTCATAACACAGTCATTTAAAAACGTAGTATTGCCAGGCAATGACTATGCCTGTCAACAGCATTTTTAAAGGTGGGTTTAAATTTCAAGTTTTCATGGGTTTTAACTATGCATTATGATTAGTTAACAGTTGTAGTAGAAATTTTGAAGCAAGTCTTGAACTCTCATCTATTAATTATTTTTAAAATTTTGCTGATGGAATGTAACTCTGCTAAAGAATTTTTGTGTAACTACCGTAACTCTGAATTTCAATAGAATTTCTTTTTATCGAGACTAAATAAATATCCCACAAGTGGAAAAACATCTATAGGGGTGGCAACCATACATTTCTACATATCTATTGTGTTTTGACAGAGATATAGTGCTGGCATTACATGTACAGGTGTATTTTGTTTTTGCAGAGATATAGTGCTGGCATCACATATTAAACCTTTAGAGAAAGGAGATCGTATAAGTGAATGTAAAATGACACAACCATGGAATACTGTAGCAAATAAAGAAATACCAGTAAATTATGATAAAAACACTGAAAATCAGACTCAACAGGTATGTGTAAAATATATCATCATCAAATGTATATCATTTAAAGATATGTTTTTCTTTGGCTATACTAATTTATGATGCCTTCCCGCATACAAACCGTGTGATTTGATGATATATTTGGACAGTAAACATGTTCAAACAAATTATCTATCAAAAGTTTTTTTTTAAATCTCTTAAACATTTTAATATATAGAAAACCACCCCATGCAACAAGAATGTATTTTGTTTATCACATGACTTGATAAGAGAGAATCTATTTGCATCTTGATTTATCATTAGTCACTGTCCATTTACCATAAATGTCGAAGCCTAAGTAAATTTCTGGATTATCCTCTGCCAATTTCTTTTTCCACCAATAAGATGAGACGAAAAACCGAGGCCCCGTGTATACATTGGAATGCACGTAAAAGATCCCTTGGTAGTTGGAATTCGATATAAGAGTAGGCGATAGTGCCACTGCCCGGGCAAAATTTCCCTCATAGCACACTGTATGGCGTATGCCCGTCTTCATTAGCCCAGTATAGGAGCAGAACAGTAGGACGTTAAACCCTATTTCGTTTCATTTCTCCACCAATTAGTCCACTGGATGTTCGAGTCTCTCAGTATTCTCATAACTGTTAATCATTTGTTCAACATATAATAAGCAGTCATTATGTCACTTAATTTTCTCCCTGGGTGTAAACATGAAATGGCCAGAACTTAAATTTGAGACCATTATTTTCTTAAAAAACATACTTTTGATTGAATATGGTGTTAAACTCTGTATTGAAAATTTTTTTCTGGAATGTCTCAGCTTTAAGTAATGTAATGTTATTTTGTTCTGTATTTTTAGAATTCCAACAGAATACCCAAAACTAGTCAAGAGTTTGGAAAACATTGGAAGAAATCCCTGAAAACATTGGACGAGAAATACAAGTACTTAATAGACATTGGTGGAGAAAAACTGACGAAAATATTTCATGCGGAAATTAGTTTCGGGTTGCTTGGAGACATAATACAAGCCTTGACGATGTACAGGTTGGACGAAATGTCTTGTGTTGTAGATATTCTTGACAAATTAACAACAATTAATAGATTCTCACTTAGTGTTCAGTTTTTAAGTTCCAAAGAAAAAGTTGTTTGTAAACAGTTATTTGAAAAATTGTTAAAAGACAGTGCAGATGACGAAACCATTCAAGACAAATTAAAATGTATGGATACATTATATGAAATTTGTGATCAGAAATAAATTTGAAGAATGAAATGTCTTCTTTTTGTTTTTAGAAAAAAAGAATATTTAGGCGTTTTTATCGACCACTGATTAGCCAAAGTGATTTGCATTCAATCAAATTTTCATCTTTAACGTCCATCTAAATCAAATTGGTTACCCTAATCAACGAATTTATTGACACCGATTTCCGAAGCGATTACATCAAATCGCCAAATCACTTCAGGGTGCGATTTGATCAGGTGATCACGGTTTTTTTTTCAACTGTGTCCAGCCACATAAATTAACGGACTCGCCAAAGTACTTTGAAATCGACTATACTGTCACATGACATCTCCACTAAATTCAAATCGATTTGGCAAGTCGATAAAAAAGACTTTAATGTCAGAGCAATAAACACAGCAATGACCCAAAATGTGTTATTTCAAGATGCACAATGAAAGAGCTAAATCTGCCTATTGCCGGTCTTTTTTATGTTATATAAATTATTATTTGGACATTTATTCACATGACAAGCCCATCATCAACTCTGTGGACCATGGGATGGCTATATTAAATATATAAGAACCCTCTTGCCACTTAATAAACTAGACTTTTCCTTGTTAGGTCCAACTACCTAGGGATCTTTTACATGCACACCAATGTGTACACACATACACAGGGCCTTGTATTTTTGTTTGTCCCATTCAAATGACTAGACAGCTGTCCTTGTTAAGACTCTGTCCTGCACCACTGACAACCACACCGCAAAATCCTGATGAACATTCTCAGCCAACACTGGGATCGAATCCGCGATCTCCAGGGATCTATAAAAGTATATAAGAGTAGGCCGTAGTGCCGCTGTCCGGGCAAAATTTCCCTCATAGCACACTGTATGGCGTATGCCCGTCTTCATTAGCCCAGGTTAGGAGCAGAACAGTAGGACGTTAAACTCCATTTCATTTCATTTCTCTATAAAAGTTGAGTGCGCCTGCGCACACACTTGAAAATGTGCCTGCAGGGTCATACTGAAACACAGGGATGTAGCCAGGATTTGGTGAGTGGTGTTAAAATTTATTTGGCGAGCGGAGCGGGTCAAAAAAAAATTTGGGAGGGGGCGTGGTCTTTTATGAAAATTAAACCCTTCTTGGTGTATTTTCAGAGCATCTGCTGCCTTTTGTATTTGGTTCAGGGCAAATCAAATTTCCATTTATATATTCAAATTTTACCAAATTCACTTAATTTTCATCAATGATACAGGGATCTAAAAACTTTTTGACACCACCCGACCGAGCATAAAATTGTCCCGCCCCACTTTGTTTCTCTGGATAGATAAGTTGAGGACCTTTCGATATTTGTTGTTTTGTTTTTTCAAATATTACTTTATTAGTTTGAGATTAAAAATTATTAAAACGGTGTTTGTGTTTTATTTGAGTACAACGAATTATGACAACGGGTAGATACTGATAATTAAAACACGTTGTATTATTTGACTTGTTTGTAAAGTTGTTGTACGTGTCTCACGAATATTATTATTATTACGGTGGAATGAGAATCGGGTCAGGCAGAAACTGAGAAAGCTCTCATCGTCCTCCTAGTCCTACTCTCGGGCCGTAGCAAATCCACGGTCAACACAGGTAAGAAATAAAATAAGATCATCGTGAAAATTTGCAGGCACGTGTTGGACAATTACGACATTCAAACCTTTAACATTGGAGTGCCGTAAAATGGTCTGGGTGACCTATTTATGGCAAATAAACAAAAATAAAGACCTTAGAATAATTGTAAAATGAATAGACCTAGGCCTACACATCTTCTAAGTATAAATAAACAAAATACCAATACATCTTTCTTTAAACTAATTTGGGATGATAGGGTCTACTACGGCACACAAAAATAAATTATGCCGTGATAGACATGGTTTGCGTACGTCGGCTTTTACCATGGCTTTGCCGTTTAATTGCCGTGGTAAATTTCGAGCCCCGAGTTTGTGTACAGAGAAGGTCGAAGGGGTTTAAATACGACTGGGCCTTTTTCGATTTTTTCTTTGTACTGGGCGGCAAAAAATAGTGCCGGGCGCAGGCGCTGCCCGACGTGGCTACATCTTTAAAAATGTGCCTGCAAAAAAATTTTCAAGCAAATGTGCCTGCGCACGCGGAAATATCGATGCCTGGCGATCTACAGGCTAGACAATTGGGAAACCAGGTTGGAAAATACTTAGTTACTTTCTTGGATAACACACCAAGAATGAACTCAGGACAATAACTGTGGCTTCTAAAGCATCAACTGGAAAAAAGTTGATGCCAGACTGACATGGCAATAACTGTGAGCACATTTCAATGTGGGCAAAGAATAAAAAGCAAACAAATTCTTCCTACATTAAGATTTATTGATGTCCAAAGAGATTCTATGATAAAAGCAAAATGGACGATGAATGACAGAAACCATAATTTATGTAGAATAGTAGGAAGTAATGTAATTTAGCACATGAAGTTTAAAAACATGAAAATCATGGAGAGAGTAGCATAAAATATTATCCAAGACTATGCTCAGTAGTAGTAAAAACATAGTATGATATGAACAAACTCCTAATAATATTCATGAAATTTAACAAATGAAAATAGAATAAAAGTATGTCACATGTTTTAGTAAACCTGTTTAAGGGTAATATTTTAAATTTTAACCTTAAATAAAAGCTGCCTGTGGATTGGATTCAGATATAAACTGTTTCCAACATAATATATTTGTACTCACATCAAATGCCGATTTTACTTTTCAAATATTTCAAGAAATTATTTGAATCAATTGAAATGAAGACATTTTGGCTTGTTCTTGGTACATCTCAAATCAAAATATTTCCATTATCTATATGTTTATGCGGGGAAATTAGAAGATTTTCTTGAAGCACTATACTTAGTAAATATCTCATAGGAGACAAAAAACCAAACCAATTCAGTAATTTTAATACATTGAATAACGATTCCTAGAAATATAATTCAAATAGTCAAGAAAAATTATTCTAATTGACAAATGACCAAGTTGGGAAACCAATGTTCAGATTACAGGGTCTGATTATATTATATGAAATTCCTATATTACATTAACTTCGTTTTAATTGATATCGAATAACAAATTGTAAAATTTTAGTTTGAATAGCCTTGAACCACTATTCGAATTTGAATATTTCTGTGAGCTCAATAATAGTAATTTTTAAATGATTTATAGTCATTGATGTTGGATTAACATTGAATTCCGAATAAACCCAACAATGTTATTTCATAGATTTTCTAGTCATAACTACTCAAACAAATACACAAATATTCAATCTTACATAGAGCACATATCAACTGAAGTTTACAATAATAAGCACTTTATCAACATTATGTTAATCTCTTTCAACACTTTAATCAACATTACTTTAATCTTTTTCAAAACTGATCTTTCATCAACATTAAACTTTAATTTGTTTATTTTCAAGTCATTATTAATATTACGGTTATCGCTTTCAACCTCTTTATTTTCTGTGTTCTAGAAATGACTGATGAATTTGGATGGACAAAAGTAAGTTTTACATTTGTTAGCCAGAAATCACTTATTTCAAAACTTTATAACATTCAAAAGTAAAAATTCTAAATTGAATGGACTATAAGGCTTTACATTTTCATGAGCTGGACGTCGTAGATTTTGTAAAATTCAAAAATTGAGGGTCAGATGTGAAGAGAACTGAAAGGAATATTGGGTCTCTTAGAAATATTTCACAAATTAATTTCAAACAACTCAATAACTAAACGTCAAAAATTTTCAATATAATCAGACAAGTGGAAGAATATAGAGTTATGTGATTAAGAATAAGATAATGATACGATGAAATATATATAAAAATAAAATGTACAATGAACGATATAATGATGAAGAATTGGGATGAAATAAAAATAAGAACATTTAATTCACTGAAATCAATTAATAATATAAGTACATATACATGTATATCTACGTTCTAATATTATACATACATTTATTTACAAATTTTCTTTCATATATTCTAATACTCAATTCAAAGAATAAATTAAGAGAATTAATCGGTGGCTTTTTACTCAATTAAATCACCCATCTGGAAAGCTGTTTGGACATTAAATCTAACTGTATTTTACTAGCTTAAAGGGCTAATTTTGGACATACAATTTAAGTATTTTCAGATTTTAGTATCTTTTATACTGCCCTTTATTTCATTTCAGTTGTGATCCTTCGAAGACTGAGTATAAAGCAGTCCGTTTATTGCAATAATGTTTCCAGTATTCTAATAGTTTCCATGACTTTAATACTCCATATTCCGACAAGTTTTCTTCATGATTGCCATTAATAGTCCTCATCACTATCGCTGTCACTAAAGTTATATTTGACCTGTGGTTTGGCACGGCTTCTACCACTACTAGGCTTTGGTGGAGGACTACTGTCCATAATTTTATCGAAGTCATCCATCGCAAAATCATCATCACTGTCACCTTTCTTAGATTTCTTCTGTAAATAGAAACATAAAATATACAACTGAGAGAGAGAGAGAGAGAGGGAGAGAGAGAGAGACCAAGTATAACTTCACTTGACACAAACTGGGTAACTTTGTGTTAAACAAATGGTTCAATTTTATTTCAATAATTTGTGTGTAGGGTCTTTAGCAGTGGGAGGAAACAGGAGAATCCAAAGAAAATTCATCTGTTTGGACAGCCAACCCTACACATTGTCACTAGAAACCACACCACTTGACTCCATGACAGATCTTATGATCTGAAGTGCATGTATTAGACCACTTCATCACCCTCCTATCCCAAAACATATAAGATTGTGAGTTGTCATGCTGTGACTAACATATTATTCGGGATGTGTGAAAATTTTCTAATTTTGAAACTAGAAAATCTAAAATCATCAATAATTTACAGAAACTCTTGTTGATTTATTGTTTACTTGAATTTTAACAACGTTCTAAGGGATGTTAAAAACTCCAAGGATAAGAATATATCTGTCTTCAGGAACAAAATTATTACCAGGTAAAACACTCATATGTTTTTAAATTAAAATAATGATACTTGAAAATCTTACCTTAGAGACGACAGGATTAAATTCCATTGATGAATCAGAATCGTACGCAGGTCTTTTCACCGTTTTCATTTTTGCTGGTTTATCATTGTCTGTAAAAACAAAACAACAGACAATGTTCAATTTTTAGTTCATACATGTCTAAAATATTACAAAGTTTAAAAGAGTCAGCTTCCAAAACAATTACTATTAGCCTAATGACATTATTAATATGGCCCTCAGTATGACCCTACTCTTCGTCACATACAAGCTTCGGATCGAAGCAATGAGACTCAATGACAGACCTTATGATCTAAAGATCACTTGACCATCAAAGCAATATCAAAAGTGTAACAAAAATGCCTATTACTTTCATATTGGAACTTTAAAAAAATACACTTTAATTAGTAAACCAAACAATACCATTACAAAATATCTTATACAAAAATATCAATGTAACAACATTTAACAAAATTCCATTGTGGCCTTTAATGTTAGCTTTTTACAAACGATAACCATAAAATCCAATTTAAATTACACAGAAGCAACATGCAAAAATTCCATGCTAAAACAACTGCCCTTGATATATTTAAAGAGCAGTTGAAACTTTACATACAAACATGCCCTTTATATTTTCAAAGGGCAGTGAAAAATGTACAAACATGCCCTTTTCATTTCCAAAGGGCAGTGAAAAAATGTACAAACGTGCCCTTTTCAATTTAAAAGGGTAGTGAAAAATTGACGAACATGCCCTTTACATTTTCAAAGGGCAGTGCAAAATGTACAAACAAAAATCATGCAAAGCAAGTTTAAAACATGTGGGGCCACACCTGAATCTACATCAATTATATCAGCATCTTCATCACTACTACTAAATGTTATTGGTTTGTTTTTCTTTGTTGTAGCTTTTGCTTTAGAGGGTTTTGAAATAAACGCTGAGGCTATAGATGGTTGTTTTGAATCAGCTAAATAAAAGGTTTCATACATTGAGCATTTTACACAAATTATTTCAGAAATAATAATCAAGAACTTCTGAGAAGCTGTCATATTCTTAATGTAAATCTCGATTATAAACAAAAACATATCTAGAATTTGAAAAAATTATAATAGCATTGGGAGGTGTCACAACTATATAAACAAAGCATATCTAGAATTTGAAAAAATCATAATAGCATTGGGAGGTGTCACAACTATAATTTAAAAAAAATTTTTAATAGACTATCTGGAGTATCATCAAAAGATTTTGACATGAAAATTGCTCTAGAATTTCAAAGACGTATTTGTCTGGGGAGATGATAAAAATTTTGACAAAGATATATTTGTCTGGGGAAATGATGAACAATTTTGTTATACATAGATCTGTTCAGACCAATGACCATAGCACTTTCAAATATTTCAATAGAACGATTTATTTCTTTAAATGTATGAAAAGCTATAGTCTAACTGCTGTACATGCTCTTCACAATGTATGTCCATTTAATTCTTTCACTGATATATTACTGAACAAACTCAAAAGTTGAAATGGTTCAACAGCTGCAGTGTCATTTGAAAATATAGGATAGAATGAAAAAGCAGTTTCCCACTAATTGCTGAGCTCAGTCAGTAGAAAATCATGTTTTATTGCCAAAGAATCAAAACTAAAATGCACTATTTAACCAATAAACCATGGTCACAGTTGTGGAGTAATATGTGGGATCTATGTGAAAGTTTTGTACTAATCGGTTAACTCATCTGCGAGCCATAGCAACTACAGTGCCAGATGCCTAACAAGATAATAGGTCTAACATACCATGCAAGTTTGGAAAGAGAGAGAGAGAGAAATGGGGTTTAAAGTCCACTCAACACAAACTAGGTCATTTCGGGACTAACCTATGGTTTAATTTTATTTCAATAATTCGCTTGCGCATTGGGGTCCTTAGCTAGCAGTAGGAGGAAACCAGAGGTCCCGGAGAAAACCCACAAGGTTGGACATGCGTCCCTACTCCTTGTCACGTACAACTGGGGAATCGAAACCACGCCAGATGACTCGATGACAGACCTTATGATACAGCACACACGTGCTAACCATTCGGCCATCCAACCCCCCACAAACAGACCAACCTACAGCATGACAACCAGGTTAAACTTTCCAATTCACTGTTCAACGAATATCCTTTGATAAACTAAAGTTATTAGATTACAGCCACGACATATTACAACAACTATTTATTTACTAATTTCATTATCTACCTTTTTTAGCTGCAGGCTTTTTCTTTTCCCCAGGTGGTTTTTTAGGAGCAGCTTTTTGCTTTTCTGAAGGTGGCTTCTTGGGCGCTGCTTTCTTTTTATCTGCTGGAGGCTTTTTGGGTGCTGCTTTTTTGTTTTCTCCCGGAGGTTTAACAGATGGCTTCGATGAAAAAATGTCATCTTCACTGGGAACAGATGATCCTAAGAAGAATGATAGAGCAACATATAAATATTTTGTATGGCGAGATAGAAACCTGTAGAAAATCTTTTTTGCTATATTCTCTCTGAATGGGTTTGTCACATTTTAATATTCATGTCTGAACATCACCTTCACCATGATTCACTTTCTATCCAGGCTCTCACTTAAATATTTTGTCAGCCAGTCATTTGTTGGCATGTTTTGTTTACATGACTTGTTCTTCCTGAGGCTAATGCTCGTTGAAAAAGCTTTGACAGACAATTGACATGAAACTTTACAGGCTGGTTTGTTGGAAAATTAGACATGACAGACGTGACTTTAATTTCGATACATCACAATTCACGACGTCATGATCTTTTTCTGGTCCATAGTATGCTTTATCTTAAGAAGGCAACAATTTTTAGCATTATTTAATTTTTGATATATATGTTTTTACTTTGAAATTATAATTTTATGACACATTATCACTGACAGGTAGGTTCAATAGTTGGTCAATTTCACTATCAGTCAGTCATAACTGGTCAATATGATAGAAATGACAGCCCTGCTATATAACTAACATAACTAATAGATTATCCATTATATTGATTGTCTCACCTTTAACCGATGAAGTTTTAGAAACAGAGTTGAGATCAAAACCATCATCTTCAGAATCCGAGAACTCAGCTGTAATAGCATTATTTTGAGGGGGTTCCGGACTATCACTGAAATATAATACAGATATTATTAAATTTAGAGCATAGATATATCCACGATACATCCACTTGACTGGAAGGTAAATTAACAATTCTGTTGAAAGAGAGAGATAGATAGGGGAGAGATGGAAAGAGGGAAATGGCCCTAAATGTACACTCAAAACTAGGTGATATCAAGACTTAAATATTGTTAAATTTTATTTCAATAATTCTCCTGCACGTAGCGGTCTTTAACAGTGAGAGGCCTTATCACTATATTTTGATGCAAATGAAACAGGTTTAGCTCGCTTAAAATTCAATAATATAAATACCATTGGATGTTCAACAAAACTTAATTGAAATAAAATGAAGTTTAATGTCCATCGACTGGGCTAATGAAGCAAAGGCATATGCTTTACAGTGTGCTATGAGGGATATTTTGCCCGGACTCTTATTTCGAATTCCAAAAGTCAAGGGTTCTTTTACAGGACTAGACAAAGTCCCCAGTCTGGCCCTCCATCGTGCACAAGGGGGAACCATGCAGGAAAATCTCGAGTAACCTTGAAAACAGGATCTCCAGGTTACCAAGCCTACATCTTACTCAATGAGGCACAGCGGATCCCAGAAGTTTAATAAGTTTACCTTGGTAGAACAACAGGTTCAGAATGATTTTCGTTATTCTCTGTTGGTTTAAATTCATCATCATTATCTGAGTCGGAACTGATACCATCTTCTGATTCTCCAAACGAATAGTTAATTTTATTAGCTGTAAAAAGAATTTTATTTAAAGAATATTAATTTGTTTAATACTAACTAACAGTTGGTTCATCTCATGTTTTACACAGTATACTCTTTTTGTTACTCTTCCAAAATAATGTGCTCAATATGACTTCCTTATAAACTCAACACAGAAGTACTAAGTCATTTAAAGGAGTAACATAGTATAATCTTATTTCATTAATTCGATTGTGCATAAGGGTCTTTTAGCAGTGGGAGGAATCCTGGGGACTCTTGAGAAAACCCACAAGGTTAGGCAGGCGACCCTACTCCTCGTCACATACAAACTTTGGATCAAAACCTGGCCTTTTGACTATATGACAGGCTGTATGATCTGAAGCGCATGCATTGCACCACTGAAACTCCCAACCATCATTTATTGAACTACAACATAAGTGAAATGTCTCATTAAAACTTCACTTATAAAGATTTACACAGAGTCCTGTAACAGTTCTGCCAGTTGAAACAGATGTGGTGTGTATAATTGGGATGTAATCAAAGGTTATAGCATCATGTTGGCACATGCCTCGTCACCAGAAATTTACATTACACATTTCCTGGAACTGAGAGAATTCAATTCGGTAATGTTCAGTCAAGTTGCCACACAGTCAATATACAAGCGACGATGGAGGCCACATTGGCATGGAATGAGTGACCGTCCATTGTCATCTTTTAATTCAGCAAGATAGGAGATGTAAAAATGATTACCAGCTCTACGAGGTCCCCTTTCTTTAGTACTTGCAGCAATAAAACTACCATCACCATCGTCCATATCAATTTCACTTAATTCATCTTCTGATTCTGAACCAGATGACCATGGATTTCTTTTCTTCTTCTTTTTACCTTTAGGTGACTTAGTAGGTGATTTATTCACAGGTGATTTATTCACGGGTTTGGCTGGTTTAGCTATTAAGAAATAGAAACAATACTTTGTTAGAGACATCAGCACGTCTAAATAGGCGACTTTAAGACAAACATGACCATTTGTATGATTACTTTATTAATTCAGAAATATAAACAATACATTGTTGGAGACTTCACTACCTGAATGCAGGTCATTTGGAGACAAACAGTCATGTTATTTCAATAAATATGGGTGCAATTGGGAATTAGGAGAATTTTATCTTCTCTTAAGCCATTTTCATTTCCATCATGTCCAATTTCAAACATTCCTTTACATGTACAACAATATGTGAATAGAATGATTTTGTTTTTTTGTCCCACTCGAACTTTCCTTACGTATTTCGTAGACAACCGTCCTCATACCAGTTTCTCTTGTTCACTTAATCGTAATTGAGCAAGACTAAGAATTCCATTCAGGAATATTCAAATGTGTATCCCCCAAGTGTACAACTTTCAAGTCATCTGAAACCCAGAGATCTTATTTTATTACAAATGTCTGCCATGGAAATCTCTATGCCATTCAATCTAAATGCCAGAACATTCAAATATGTAAATAAGTGTTTAACATACATTTAAATACTTTTTTCTTGTCTATATTTAATCTTTCTGCGAGACTTTTGGGTTCTTCTTTGATATCTGTTTTCATGTCGTCATCTAGATCCAAATTCAGCTCTTTTTTAATCTGAAAATATCAATTTAGATTTTTTGTAATGATAAAATTTGCTGTTCATCATTAGTCAGGCTTTAAATCCCTAGCAATCAACTGTCCAAATTGTATCTATAAAAAGAACATCTGTCCAATATTTACAAAGAGATAAAGAGAGAGAAATGGGGTTTAACGTCCACTAGACACAAATTAGGACATTTCGGGACTAACATGTGGTTCAATTTTATTTCAATAATTCGCTTCCATGTACGGGTCTTTAGCAGTGGTAGGAAACTGGGGGTTGGACAGACAACCCTACTCCTTGTCACGTACAACTAGGGAATCAAAATCACGCCAGTTGACTCAATGACAGACCTTGTGGTCAAGCGCACACGCATTAACCATTCGGCCATTAACCCTCCTATTTACAAAGATATGTTATGTTACAAATGATACAAACAAGCCAGTGTCACCTGTAAGTGTTGGTTAAAATCTTTTGATATGCCCTTTTTTATTCCCAAAACTCTGGTCTAATCTCAAATATTCATGTCTATAGACACAATCCATCAACAGAGATGAGCTAATTATTGGTTTCATCATCAGTGTCGGCCAATAATTGTGTTATCAGACACTCATTAATTACCTATAATTCATACAGATGTTTGTGTACCAATACATAATTGTAAAAATTAAATTTGATGTGTGGTTCTTTGAGTTACCGACTCCTAAGGAAACAAATGTATTGAAATGAAGTTCGAGGTCCTACTGTTCTGCACTGACTGGGCTAATGAAGATAGTAAACTGAACATAACAGGCCACCTAATTTCATCTGAAAGCTACAAATTGATAGTATCTGATATCGGTTTTACCATATTACCAATATCAGCTCATTCCTACACATTAGTACTGCTATGTTACCATTTATCCATACCTTTTTACTTCCTTTCTTGTTGTCTGCCTTTTCAGCTTTGAGTTTAATGGCGGAATCAACTCTAGGAACAACACGAATACCATGTGGTGAAGGCATGGTTTCTAACTGTAGTGTTCTTGATTTTAATTTACCACCTTTACTAGCACCTTTCTTTTTAATGGCTTCTTCATCATCACGTTCTTGTTGTTCTTTTTCCTATAAAACAATATGGATGTCACTTGTACCATTCAATTACATTGATGAAATACTATGAAGCACATTTTGCCCCGACAGCAGCTACTGCCTACTATTATTTAGATTTACAACTGTCAGGGAATCATTAACGTACTGCCAAAAGTATATTATCATAGTTTTTCACTTTTCCTTGCACAAAAGACAGAGGGAATTAAGGCCAGATCTGTTGTTTAACAAGCCAGCTTCATATTCATTGTGTCATAGTTCTCCACCTTAAGCTGTATGGCGGGGTATCGGGTTCAAAATGCAATCTAGAGTAAAAAGCAGAAAGTCAACAGCAAAAAGTAGAAAATCTAAAGTAAACGGGAAAATTCTTATCTAAAAGGGTATTTTTATGGTGAAAACCTATAAATTTATGTACTTAGTCTGTAGAAACATCAAGCTTTTCAACTTTTAATCGTCATAATTCTACTTTCATGGACAAAATTTCTCCTTTCTACTATCAACTTTTGACTCTCGACTTTCCACTTCAGATTTTCTACTCAGGATTTTCTAACGCAGATTTTCTCCAATACTATGGTGGCTGATAGTGGCCATGTAATATTTCGCCATTTTCATAACCCGACAACACGACATAATGACAGTATTAGTGAGAGCATACGTCAAAGTATACTTGGATATTATAGACTTTTGGCAAGCGTAAATTCCTGGTCCGCATCGCGTATCCGTATGGATTTTGTGTGTGACGTCATCATCAATGTGTGTGTATTTCTCATACGTGATACGGCACACGGATGCGGCAGCACGTATCGAACAGCTTTCATACGCAAAGGTACGTATAACATCATCGTCTTTTCATCGTCTTTTTTGCTTCTTTTATACGCTGAAATGTTGTGGCATAGCGTTTTTATGAATCTATGTGTATCCTAGAACACGAAGGTGTATATTTGATGTGATTTTAACCATGATAAAGACGTGTTTTCTCGGAATTTTCATATTTTTCCTGTTTGTCTGCATGCTGATTGATCTACGTGCTAAATTTAGGGAGGTGTAAATGGCGTGATTCTACCGTAAAGGGGTATAAACTTTCTGAAATGAGTGAAACCAAAAATTGCTGTCGAGTCTAGGCATTTGTGGCTAGGCACTTGACTAGCACTGATGGTGATTTCGGTAGATAACCGTCGTCATGTTGTAAGAGAACTAGGCTCAGCTCAGTTACTCATACGTACGCGGCACGAACGTCTGTCAAAACTCTAAAACTACACTGACGCAACGTATCACGTATATGATACGGATACGCGATACGGATGTGAAAAATTTCGCTTGCCAAAAGTTTATAATATCCAAGTCTACTTTGACGTATGCTCTCACTAATACTGTCATTATGTCGTGTTGTCGGGTTATGAAAATGGCGAAAAATTACATGGCCACTATCAGCCACCATAGTATTGGAGAAAATCGGCGTTAGAAAATCCTGAGTAGAAAATCTGAAGTAAAAAGTCGAGAGTCAAAAGTTGAAAGTAGAAAGTCGAAAGTCAAAAGTTGATAGTAGAAAGGAGAAATTTTGTCCATGAAAGTAGAATTATGACGATTAAAAGTTGAAAAGCTTGATGTTTCTACAGACTAAGTACATAAATTTATAGGTTTTCACCATAAAAATACCCTTTTAGATAAGAATTTTCCCGTTTACTTTAAATTTTCTACTTTTTACTGTTGACTTTCTGCTTTTTACTCTAGATTGCATTTTGAACCCGATACCCCGCCATAAAGCTGTTGTATCTATTGTTTGGATGTAACACTCCCTTGCTGTCTGAAACCCAAATATCAACACACTGAATTATCTTCTGTAACCATAGAAACTAAAGACTACCACAATATGTTAAAAACTTGGAATGTTCACTTCTTTGACAGTTTAGAAAATAAGTTTGATGATAATACTTACATTAAGTTGAGTAAGGAAGATCTCTAAATCTTCCTTCCATAATACGGAAGGGGTTTTAGTTTTTAATATAGATAATTCTTTTGCCTGAAAGATAATTGATAATTGCCACTTGATACATTTTGTTTATTTCTGAATATATCTTTTTAGATTGAAAAATACAAAATATTACACAATTTTCATGTATTCTAATATACTGAAGTCTATTGTCCCTTAAATCTAACAAGATCAGGCCCTGTTTTTACAAAGCATTCTCAGACTTTCAATCTCTACCAGAAATATATTTGATCCAGAAACACAAAACTTTGCATATAGTTTCTTATTTATGTATTTGATACATTACCACAACAAAAGATTTAGAAAGGACTATGTTCTAGTTAAAATAAGGCGAACAATTTTGAGTAAATATTTAACTTAAGTCTGAGAATGCATTGTGAAGGGTCTAACATGACTTTATGTGGAGGCAGGGATTCATTGTATAGAGATGTTGAAATATTGAACCAACCTTTGCTTCTTTTTGTTTTAATAATTCATCTTTCTTTTCCTTAGACAGACTCCACAATTGTAATGAAAGTAAATAATTATAATCTGGACCATCCATATCTTCTTCACTTTGTGATTCTTGAGATTCTTCCTCTTCAACCTATTGAGAGTAAATTAAGAGAATTATGCAAACAAGAAATACCTGTAATATATCCCGTTACATTAATTTCAAACATCAGACTCCCCACCCACCACTGCAGGGGTGGAATCGGACTCCCACCCACCACTGCAGGGGTGGAATAAAAATGATGATTGATTTGATAAGAGGCTAAAAATGGTCATTTTAAACACGAGATGAGAGATGAGGTTAAACATTCACACAGCACAAACTAGGTTATTTCGGGACTAACATGGTTCAATTTTATTTCAATAAATTGCTTGAGCGTAGGGGTTTTAGCAGTGGGGGGAAACTGGAAGACCAAGAGAAAACCCACAAGGTTGGACAGGTGACCCTACTCCTTATCACATACAAGCGGGTAATCAAAACCAACTCTACGACAGACAATCTGATCCAACAGGTGTTAACCATTCACCCCCCAACGCCCGGACATGAGATGAGAACAGCTACAGTAGGCCATATTCAGTTCAATATGTTAAACCTTTCAGGTTTTACAGTAGTATAACAACTGTCAGGTAAATTTTACTGAAGCCCATTTTAAAGAAAGTAAAATAAAAGCTAGTGTCTTACCTGTCCTTTATTTTGTGCTGCCTTCCATGCTTTAACAGGATCACTATCATAACCATGTCTAACTAACATCTGTATAATATCTTTCTTTCTTTTATTTTCTACAATTTATTATATCATTTATCTATGGTTTCTATGGAGACAATCCATACAATACTAAATAAGACTGTTTCCTCTCAGATATCTTTCATTTCTCATATTAGGTAGGTGTGTTAGGACTTATCTCATAAGAGACAGACAGAAATGGGGTTAAATGTCCACTCAACACAAACCAGGTTATTTCGGGACTAATATATGGTTCAATTTGATATCAACAATTCACTTGTGCGTAGGGGTCTTTAGCAGTGGGAGTAAACCAGAGGACCCAGATAAAACCCACGAGGTTGGAGGGGAGGAAACCGGAGGACCCGGAGAAAAGCCACAAGGTTGGAGGGGAGGAAACCGGAGGACCCGGAGAAAAGCCACAAGGTTGGAGGGGAGGAAACCGGAGGACCCGGAGAAAAGCCACAAGGTTAGACAGGCAACCCTATTCCTTGTCCTTTTCAAGCAAGGAATTGAAATCATACCACTTGAATGGCGGACCTTGTGATTTCACGTGCACGCATTAAATCACTAGGCCACCTAAAGCACCCTTTTCTCATAAACACTTGTTTTTCCTTTTTGAAGTTTTTGGTTAAGAATGTTTAATCATCAATTTACTTAAGTTATTTGCATTCTGGAAAAAGTCTTATTAGACATGAATAACAACACAATAGATAACTACAATCTCATAACTTACCAATGACAATAGTTCCTTCAATCTTTTCCAAAATAAATCGAGCAATATTATCTAATTTATTTGATTCTGCTTCCAACATGCCTTCCATATAATTCTTTCGCATGATATAATATTTGAAACGTAGTTCATAGAAATCTTTGAGTATATCTTCAGCTTTATCATAGCGTCTAATACAACCATTATGATCAAATAATACCTGTAATTTATCAATGTTTACATCAATACATATACATTAAGCATGAGCATTATTATGCTCCATTTGAATAATCTCAATCACACACTGCTGGACTCAATAATGATTCCTGTCCCAACTTATGACTGACAAGTGGTAACGGGGCTGAAAATTCCTAAGGAACTTCCTTGGTTAACTCCTGGATCAAACATTAATTTATAATAATAATCGGATAGCCCCCAATACAGTTGAAAATTGACCTACCATACTGTTAGTTGTACAGGAGTTCTGGATTTTAAAAACTTTATGGATACCCTGTGCTTCAGCCTGTGCTAATTTCTGTGTTGTCATTTTAACTACAAATCTAACAGTTGATTCTGTATGGTATTCTTTATAGTCACTGAAATATATTAAACAAAGTTTTATACCAGACATTTACGAGAGAGAGAGAAATGGGGTTTAATGTCCACTCAACACAAACTAGGTCATTTCGGGACTAACATATGGTTTAATTTTATTTCAATAATTTGCTTGCGCGTAGGGGTCTTTAGCAGTGGGAGGAAACCGGAGGACCTGGAGAAAACCCACGAGGTTGGACAGGCGACCTTACTCCTTGTCACATACAACCTGGGAATCAAAACCATGCTAATTGACTCAATGACAGAATTTATGATACAGCGCGCACACGCTAACCTTTCAGCCATCCAACCCCATATGTAAAAGGAATTTCAGTCCAAAAATGGTTCAATTCATAGAAAGCAGAGATGATTGTTAAAATTTTGCAACTTTCAGAACCCTCTCTAGACAATATGAACAAGCCAGTGTCACCGTCAATTTTTTGATGGACTTCTTTTTGATTAGAATATATTGGTTTGTTATTCAATAGGAGTGCATTTTAGTATAAATTGAAGCATTAAAAAGTAGGTTTGTTCTAATGATCAGCGCTTTTAACTTTGGATTCTCATTTAGAATAAGTTTCTTACGTGATCATAGCTTCTGTTTTATCTGTACCATGTAACATAGGTTCTAGAACATCTTCTTTATAATTTTGTGTCCATACTCGAACAGGTAATTCCGATATCTCTATTGTATTATCATCAAGAATAGAAATCTCTCCGCTAATTACATAACGACTCTCTGATAGTTCATCTATTGTTCCCTTAAAGTTCTTAAAAGATGGCAGCTGAAATTCAAAGATTAACACTCTAATTAATCCCTATTAAAGATTGATAGATTCTTGGATCTATTGTGAAGCAAGACAGTATTAAATGTATGAAAAAAATTTGAAAAGTTGCTGTTGCAAATATCATATTGCATTTTATTTCACACTAAAACATGCTGTCTTAAATAGTTTATCCCTTTAACAGTTATGGGGAAACTAAAGGACCCAGAGAAAAACCATGAGGTTTGACAGGCGATGCTACTACTTGTCATGTACAAGCTGGGAATCGAAACAACAACACTTGACTCAATGACAGACTTTATTATCTAAAGTGCACATGTATTTAAATACGGTTTCAGCATTATTTGATGTGGTGGGTTTTTTTCTTTTAGGACTTACCATTTTTAATGGCTCATCTCCATCCAACATTCGTTTCAGATTTGCTACGATTTCTCTAATATCAAAGTTTTGAATCTTTGTACTCCATCCTGTACCGATACCATCAGCACCATTGACTAATACCATTGGTATTATTGGTATGTACCATTCGGGTTCAATCTTCTGATTATCATCGTATAGATGTTTTAATAATGCATCATCTAATGGACTAAACACTAACCTTGTCAATGGACTGAAATAGACAGAGTTTTTAAGCAAAAATTTTACTTGGAGATTCCTGCTTATTTTTTTAAACATCAGAGTGTTTTTCTAGCTACAAATGTTATTTAAATTATTATTTAGAACATTATACATATATATGACCAGTCTGTATTCAACTCTCTACACCATCAGATGGCTTAGTGGATTAGACAATGTCAGCCATATATTACCGATCAAGCCAAAATTCCCTCAGAATTTTAGACCCTGATTTGCCAATGGTACAAAATTTCACTTGTAATAATTATTATTTCCTCAGGATTTTCCAGTCTGATTTTCCTTTGTCAATGGTGCAAAATTTCATTCAAAACACACTAGACAGCAAATGCCTGTCATCAGTTGGTGCAAAAATGTTAAGACAAATCTTATTTCATTTGATAATTTGGTGAATCTTAGGCCATTTGTAACATCAGTTCAATATTTTGTATCTAATATTACTCATTTAAGTATGATAATGTACAGGAAGATATTCATCCATCATCAATCGTAAATAAAATAATCTCCATAACAGATAACACTTACTTTAAATAAGTAAAAATGTATCGAGGGCTGGCAGCATCTTTACCGCCATGTAATCGTGTACCAAATTGACCTTGTGGCATCAGTAAGTTCATATTATTGGAACCCACAAAATTTTGTGCCAAATTCACAATTGTTCCCATCAATGAAGCCTGTAAGATTAAAGGCATGTGTTAATTGAAAGTATTATCACAAAACATCAATTCATCAAACTAATATTACATATATTTAGGAAATGGCAACCACACCCTTTAAAAAAAAAAAAAAAACGAATATAGGTCACCAGGCAATTGAAAATATGCCCACAGAAGCCAAGCTGTCAAATTCGGATAACTTTCATCTGTACGAGTGCTGAAGATTTTTCAGGTTGACACTGTGTATAAATAGTATAAATTGGATCTATCGTGTGTTCACAAAATTGTTTAAAATGATAACAAGCAGAAGCTCTAAACCAACACTACAAATTTAGTCAATCTTCAGCCTCTAGAGTGTTCACAAGGCTGATAAAGGTTACATTTAAATGTAGGCTAATAAAAAACAAAACAAACAGCACTAGTGTGATTGACATACAATACCCATTTGGTGACTGGATCTTGCAATGTTTTGAATCTATGTTATTTTCTTCTGAGTTATGGAGAGAGAGAGTTATGGAGACAATGAAACCACCACCACACTGGAGCTCTCTTATTCACCTTAGCAGCAAGAGAAAACCCAAGATCTGGGCATGCAACCCAAATTCCTGTCACGTACAAGCTTGGTACCAAAACCATGCTTCTTAAATCCATCAAAGACCTTATGATCTAAATCTCAGGATTCAGACCACTCAATTACCTTAACCCTCTTTATTTAATGAGCAGTAACTCACCTCTCCATGATGATAAGCTGAATGTTCTCCAACAGAACCAGCTAACTGGGCAACTTTTATTTCTTTTGTGATATTTCTCTTAAAACAGGTAAATATGACCTTTCTCTGTCCTGGTTTAAACCCATCTACCATAGAAGGTATAGATCGGATATTATCAACTTCACTGAACAGAATGAGTTCTTTATTAATAAATTCATTAAATGTCACCCTTTGTGTTTCTTTACCATACAGATACAACTGAAAATAAAAAAAAATAAATCATTTTAATACATATAATCTAAAAGGGATAGATATATTTGCTTCTATTTTTGAATGCCACACATTACAAGGGAAGGGAGTATTGCTTTTTGACATTAACTTGGCCATTTTGGCACAAGAAATGAAATCGGGTTTAATGTCCTACTATTCTGCTCCGACTGGGGTAATGAACACGGGCATATATGCCATACAGTGTACTATGAGGGAAATTTTGCCTGGGCATCGGCACTATGGCCTACTCTTATATCAAATTCCAACTGCCAAGGGATATCTTACATGCATGCCAATGTATACACAGGGCTTCAGTTTTTTTGTACGATCCTGCACCACTGACAAGGGGAAATCCCGATGAAATATCTTGGCCAATGCAGGGATCAAACATGCGACCTTCAGTCTAGCGAGCCAGTTTCTTATCCACTGTGTCTCCATTTTGAGACAAACATATATCTTTTGGATGCATGGATCTTTAACAATAAGAGATAACAGGAAAACCTGAAGAAAATCAAGAAAATTAAGTAAATGCGACAATGCTAAGTGAATAAGAGACTTAAAACCTAGTCATACCTCTGGCAATCCCAGTTCATTGCGTCTCTTTCTGTCTTCCATAAAGTTTGTTAACCACGTTTTTCTATCTTCTATTTTCTTTTTACTGAAAGCTAGTGTAATGGAGGCATCGTCTTCTGCTCCACCATACTTAAATCTAATACGATGTCGTTCAATATCTGTGAAATATTCTTTAGCTTCTTTCGCTGTGCTGGTTCCCAAACCTAACAGTGAAAAAAGAAATGGTGTAAAATATGCACACAATTCAAGTAAATAACTTAGGTTATGCAGGCTATGTTTAACTTAACATGACATCATCACTTAAAATTAAAACAGAGTCGCCAAACTAGCAGTTTTTGGAAGGATGGCTTTCAAGTTGTCAAGACTAGGGGTAAATCAATGTGCAGTTCAGAAAATTTCCCATAAGGTTCTTTTTTTGAGATGGGGGGTGGATGGCTGAATGGTTAGCATGTGCGCACTGTATCATAAGGTATGCTGTCATTGAGTCAACTGGTGTGGTTTCGATTCCTCGGTTGTACGTGACAAGGAGTAGCGTCGCCTGTCCAACCTTGTGAGTTTTCTCCAGGTCCTCCGGTTTCCTCCCACTACTAAAGAAACCTACGCGCAAGCGAATTATTAAAATAAAATTGAACCATATGTTTGTCCCAAAATGACCTAGTTTGTGTCGAGTGGACGTTAAACCCCATTTCTCTCTCTCTTTGAGATAGTACATCTGCAATAACTAATTACACAACTCTTTCGATACAGATCATCTTCTAAGAAAAACATTTTTAATAACAGAATCCAAATAAACTGATAATAATGGGGACAAAAAAAAAAAAAACCTTTGTAGTATTTGATCTTCCAGGTGTGAAAGTTGGGTGTTTCTTTTTGCCATTCTTCAAATTCTGGCATACTGTAGAATGCATGTTCATTTTTACCTTTAAATGCCTACAAAAGAAAAAAAAAACGAACATTTAGATAAAAAGCTTTTTCACAATCTCTCAAGTATTTGATTAAGGGACGTTTAACCAACTACAAAAGCCAGGATTGAGCCAGAAATGTATTACAGAGACAGAATACATGGCTTAAGATAGGTACTCTCTCCACTGAAAGCAGGGCAAGTCAAGCTTGAAATAAATGAAATGAAATAAAAGGGGGTTTAACATTCTACTGTTCTGCTCCGACTAGGCTAATGAAGACAGGCATATGCCATACAATGTGCAATGAGAGAATTTTTTCCTGGATAGTCGCACTACGGCCTACTCTTATTTTGATTTCCAACTGTTAACGGTTCTTTTATATTTATGCCAAAGTGCAAACAAGGTACCACATCGGATGTTTTATCGTTAAATTTAATATTATGTGACTCAAGCAACGTCCTTGTGCTGAATAAACAGTAATGTATCTTACCTTGACAATAGGTGTAATAAACTGTTCAACAACATTATATTTTAATAAATTAGGCCAGAAGTGATGTATAAAATTAACTAAAAGTCCTTTAATATGTGAACCATCGTGATCCTGATCTGTCATTATCATCAGCTTTCCGTAGCGTAATGTTTTCAAATCTTCTGGTTCATTGTATTTGTTTTTGAACTGTAGACCCATTATTTTAATAATATTGTTGATTTCTGCATTATCCATAATCTGTAAACATTAAAAAACATCATAAATTTTATACAACATATTCAATAAATGATTTTCATTTCAAATTGATCCTCATTTGGGTTTTTCAAATATCTATTTTTTTCATGGCTTAATCCACATTAACAGTTGATCATATGAGTGGCTTTTGACCCTATGACATCACATATTTGATTAACCAATCAGCATTGATGTTTCTAGTGGATTACTTGCAGTTCCGTGCAGCTCACACCAAAAGCTCATCGCAACAGACCGTTTCATTGTATAATCCCTCACATCATCTAGAACACGTCAATGATAACAACTCTTCCAGGTCCTAGTATAGTAAAGACAAGTAAAATGAAATTTTGAACTATAAAAAACGAATAGAAATAGGATCTATGTTTTAATCAGATTGGTTTGGATTAAATCGGATTAAAGATTAGCCCCTGAAATAATGATCAACGGATCTAAAAGTAAAATTAATAATTATCCAAAGAAATTTTGATTGAAATGATTTGTTTATCATGTACAATGCAAATAATAATTTATATTCAACAATGTGATGAGAGAAATTCAGTGTCTAACACATGATGGTTATGAGAAGTCATTTAGAACAGTAGGGATACTTGATAAAACAAAGATAAAAACACACCCTTTCCAGTACCCTTCAGATTTTGAGAAGGATTGTCTGAGAACCAGAAATTTTTTTGTGGATGGCCTAACTGCTGGATTAGCACTGCCCAATTCAATAAAGAAAGCTAAAGAAACTACTTTAAAAACCCTACCTGTTTGTGTGAAGCTTCCCGTACATTGAGAAGTTTACCACGTAATGGAAACACACCATATTTATCACGTCCAATCACACCTAAACCTGCTACAGCCAAAGATTTGGCTGAGTCTCCCTCCGTTAAGATGAGAGTACAGGATTGAGAAGATTTGGTACCAGCGTTGTTAGCATCGTCTAATTTAGGGATACCCTTTAACTTTGAGTTTTTTGAGCCACTTTTCTTGTTAAGTTGAGTTTGTGCCTTGAACTTCATCCAACTCAATATACTCTCCACAATACCACATTTACTAGCCTACAAAATACCAAGTTACATTTGATTTACGGATTTGTGTCGTAAACAAATTTGATAGTACTATAGGAACAAGCATGCCAAGTTTAATGTCAATTCTACTTAAATTTTTGTAAAGCCTTAGGCTTTCTAAACAAAATATATGCCACTATCTTACCTGTTTCATGAAGTCGTCCGTTAATGAACATTTGGACCCAAAACTCTTGGGTTGTAAAGTCATGTTCTCTTTAGTTTGTGAATCAAAAGTGGGATTCTCAATCAAACAATTGACAAAAACCCATAAATGATTCTTAATCTGGAAGGGTTTAATCTTAATTCCTCCTTTATCCTTCTTCTGTACAATTTCTATCAGTTTCTTTACAATCTGATCTGATACATGATCAATATGTCTGCCACCCTAAAACATGTCAAATATTTTTATTTAGAAATTTATTCAATATAAAACAACCTGGCCATACAAGTATACTCTTAACATTAGAATGTCTCTGGAAATACCAAAATGAAAATTCTACTCTTCGTCATATTCGATAAAACGGTCAAACAAATCATACAACAAAAATAAAAGGAAATGGGGTTTAACGCCAATCTGTACACAGGATTTTGGTTTTTTGTCCCATCCGATTGGCTATACTGGGTAACTTGACAGGTCCTTTGTCCTGTACCACTGACAAGGAGGAACCACAAAAGAAAATCCTGATGAACTTTCTGGGCCAAAGCAGGGATCGAACACGGGACCTCCAGGTTAGTAAGCCAGCGTCTTACTGAGTCACAACCATACAACAAATGCTTGTAACTCACTAGTTAGACAAGTAAACCATTTATCAGATTTATGTTCTCATGAATAAGGGACCTATACCATAATTACTTTAATCTTTAACTCCAAGTAGTGTAATAAATGTGTGTATGTACCTTAGTTGTTGCTATACTATTGACGAAACTAGCTTGTTGAAAACCTTTATCACTGAGAGTAAGTGCTACTTCCCATCTTGGATTGACATCACTGTAAACTATCTTTAATGGTTGACCGTTTTCATCTTCTTTATCTTTTATAAATAGATTAATATATTCTTTGAAGTTTTTAACCTGAAAAACAAATCATTACAATTCACATCAAGTTATTGACATTTCATCCATCTTAAATATGCGACAAAGGTCTAACTTTCATGGAACTATATCAATTACGATTTGTAACATATTCTGAATATAAAATTATTCACTCTGACTTACAGGAATTCGTTTGCCGTTCAGTATAACCTTAACGCCTTTAGTAGAACCAGCGATATCATAAGCACGTCTGCTAAACACATCTACTATATCTTTATCTAAGCATTCCATTTTAAACTTAGATAAATCCGGGGAGAATGATACACATGTAAAATCATCAGACTTTGCATCCTTGATTGTTGGCTCTTTTGTGAAACCCATATTTTTCTGCCATGTCTGAAGAAAAAGAATAAAATTTAAAAATAAATTTACAGAAATATTTTGTGCTTACAGTCTTTTGTATTAACTTGAGTCAGCAAGAATCGTTTAATACAAAACACAAGTAGCGAGAGAGAGAAATTGGGTCTGATGTCCGCTCGACACAAACTAGGACATTTCCGGACTAACATATGGTTCAATTTTATTTTAATAATTTACTTGCGTGCAGGCGTCTTTTGCAGTGGGAGGAAACTGGAGGACCTAGAGAAAAAACACATGGTTGGACAGGTGCCCCTATTCCTTGACAGGCACTAGCGAGGATCGAAACTTGACTCATTGACAGACTTTATGGTTTCATGCTAATGCATTAAACCACTGGACGACCCAACTCCCCTCCCGTAACACTACTATGTTAGATATATCAAGAGAAATAAGCGTAACAATGATAAAATGTTTTGGTATTTGCAATACAAAAATATTCCAGACTTAATGGTTATTATAATATTTTATTAATATGATGGGTGCATGAAAGTAGGATGTAACTTGTTTTTTGTTTAAATCTATTTACCTGTCTAAAGCATTTTTTGTATTCTCCAGAGGATGTTTCTACTGTAAATTTAGTACTAAAAATATTACACAATTTAGCACCATAACCATTTCGTCCACCTGGAGAAGAAATATAATAAGTTCATTATTGAACCTGGGTTGTTTTTTTTTTGCTTCTAATCATTAGGGCTGTGTTAATCTATACTAATATTTGTGACTGTCGTTTGTTTGTCTGTTCAGGGTTGGCGGCTACACTAGGGTTTTTCTGAGGTTGAAATTTGATGTAATATGGGTAGCTCGGACCGGGCAGAAACATAGGCCTGTATGTAAACATACCAACATTAAACACTCTATATGTAAACATACCAACATTAAACACTCTACATGTAAACATACCAACATTAAACAGCTCTACATGTAAACATACCAACATTAAACAGCTCTACATGTAAACATACCAACATTAAACAGCTCTACTAGTATCGCAAATATACAAATATTAAATTTTACGTACCTGTTACTTTTTTCTCAAAATCATTGTAATTACTGGAGGTAAGTAGATGACCAAAGATCATAGTTGGTACATACATTTTCTCTGTCTTATGTTCAACCACCGGAATACCTTTACCATTGTTCCACACTGATATCTGATTATTTTCACTGCAAAAAAAACAATTCAGAATTTCTTTATGTCTATTTATAATAACCATTCATAACTCAATAACGGTATGATATATATATGTATGTACATTTGGTAAATATTCCGCCTTTGTTCTTGATTTCCCTTGTTAGTTTGTTTTCATTTTGCGGAGTGAGGCCTGTATCATTAAAGGGCAGGGTCTGTACAGCACAGTGGACATGGGCAGTGCAGTCCTCCTGTACTTACCAGACCTAGTTTTCCAGTTACCTAGAGTACTGATAACAATTCATAAATAATCATATCAAAAATACTTGTTTCCAATGACTGGAGAAATAACGATTATTCAGAAGCAATGCCTGCTATCTTTGAGCAGGCCATAGATGAATTTGAAAACTTATTATCCTAAGCTGATTGAGATTGAAAGGGAATTTTTCATCATAGCTTAAATTAAAATTTAATTTTGTGAAAAATGATATGGATTGGCAAGTCTGTCCTGGGTATGCATATTGATTTAGGGATACATATTCCTTCTCCGTATATCATAAAAACCATGATGAGATATTTAATCAAAATGGAGATATTTAAAAATGAAATACTTACGCATCTATATTGATTTTAATGGTATTCATGTTAGCATCCCTCTGTTTGTTATCTGCTGCATTTACTGAAAACAGAAATAATACAAAAATTCCATTTAATATAATTAATAATCTTACAATCTCACATTTTAATGTGGCTCACCGTGTAAGGTGCTTGATCACAAATCCGGTTTCAATTTCGGTGTAGACCAAGAGAGTTCGTCTGTATAACAATCTTGGCATTACCAGTAACTAGAGAACGCCATGGTTCAAAGAAGATGTGAAACATTACAACACAGGGGTTGGGGATCGAATGGTTTAATGTGTGTGCTTTAGACAATAAGGTCAGTCATAGAGTCAAGTTTCCTCCCACTATTAAAGACCTATACTCCTCTCTCCTGATGGATAGTAGCTTATAATAGCATCTTTTAACTGTAAATATCATAAAGATCAAATTAACTCTAAACAATACAGGTGATGTCTACTTACCAAGAATTTCATCAAATATTTTAAATAGACCAGGCACAAAGGTTACTTCTCGTTGTATCATCATAGCTTTCTCTTCATCAAATACCCACATTGGCTAAAATCAAATAAAATCAGTTACAGCACTATCCACTCTAAGAAAACTTTTATTAAACAATTCCTAAATTCACACATGCTGTTACTTAAAACCCAGAATTTCAAACACATTAAAGAACTTTGAATAATCTTACTTCCAAACTAATGATGAATTCTACATTTTGTAAACGTTCAACAGAATTAAACCCTTTTTGGACTGATATTCCATTTTGAGATTAAACTTTCACAGTATTGTAGTATAAAAAAATTCCTCAATCCCTCAAAGGTAGGCTTTACGGAATGATAGAAAGTATATCAACATTTCAATATCAGATAATAATTCATTTACCTGTGTTACTCTTTCAACAGAACCGATATAAGTATCAGGACGTAGTAAAATGTGTTCTAACTGGGATTTCTTCTGATAAATTCTTTCAACGGATAATCTTTTGTTAGCATTATTACTGATCGGTGGACCATCCCCAGCACCCAGAGGCATTTCCTGAAATTATAAATCATACTTATTCAATTATAAATTATAAATCAACTGAGGCCTGGGATTTTTCATTTTCTCCCAGGTCAGATTTCCATGATTTTTCAAACTAAAAGCTTGACCTGCACTGTACTTCAGTAGTGCTTTAGAAGTCTTTTGTCAGTTAATAACAAAACATGTTTGCGAACATAAACAGAATACGTTTGATTTGGTCCGCATTTATGAGACTCTTGCTTGCGATCTTTTGACACTTTTGTATATGGCTAATTAGGTAAGCCTGGGGGAAAAAATTGGGATTTTTGAACAAATTTGATTGTAAATTTTTGTAATTTGGCTAGGCAAAGCAATAAATGACTGAAGATTCTCAACTTTTCAAAGATTTCAATTTTTTTCTCCCAGGCTTACCTAAATTTCGTTTCATCTTATATGGCTGAGTTCGTAAATTTGTGCGTTACCCTTTCAATGAAGTCCGCCAAGTCAGTCAGAAGACGGAGACGTATTTTTTAGCAGCGTGTTGTGTCGCTCATACTGATTCTAGCGAGGTAAGCAAGGTCTTATTTTCTCACTAAAATGTTCATTTATATTGTTCAGGCGTTCACTGGGACCGACACGCGACCGTTTAGCAGTAAAAAGTTGCCCAGTAAAATTAACTGGTGAGCGATTAGCCTAGATTATCGACAAGGATTCAATAGGACAGTGCCTGAACGTACAGGGCGAGTGACATGAGACCTACGTTCAGAGCTGAACTAAGGGACCCAATGCTACCCTCTAGTCTCTACTACTACTAACTAGAGAGGACTTTAGTCAAAATGGAGATAACGCCAAGGAGCCTACAACAGCAAGTCAGCATGCTACAAATTCTATGTGAAAAAGTAAAAGCTCATATTGAATATAACCTATCAATTTCTATGATGTTAAATCTTTTTTTAGGAGTCGTTTTTCTTTTTTAAGGCTCATATATTTCTAAATTTGCAGGAAAAGTGTCCACCGCGCGAAAAGTCACGTGACAAAATAGAACGAAAACATCAATTTTTGACACAAAATTTCATATTTTATACCTCTTCCATGACTTTTTCTTGGTGTAACAGATCACCTGAAATGAAAATTTAGAACATGTAATACAGATATTCACAAGCGCAATATCAATAAATTAAATAATTTGTCTCACACATGTGTACGTACAGTGTGGTGCCAGACAGTCAAAAACTACAGTTACACTGGCAAGATAAAAGAAAACATTTCACTTCCGCCGCCGGGTCATTCAAACTGAGGTGCCAAAATGCATGAACAATGGCGTGTCTCTTCTTAATTAGCGCAAAAATGTTCTGTCGGGAAACTATTCAATCCCATGTTATACCTACTTGTGTATATGTGCCCAGGTTTTCTTTTTGCAAGATCTAGTGCTTCTAAAAGGAGTTTCGGCCGACGGCCATTGAAAATTAGCGAGCGAAAAATTGCTGCTTAATTTCAACACTCAACGCACATTGGCTAATAAAAAGAGAGAAAGGGCTTTTTTGTCCAATGAGAAGCCGCCTTTTAGTCGTAAGAATAAAATGACCCTCCATACGCAGGACGATGTCGTGTATACATTTTATTCTTATTAAAGTGACAACTTGCCGATAACCTTAGTACAGGATGTAAACTACATTTATTTATTTAGATTTTTAAATGTGCGACGTATGATGTGTTAAAACGATGTCCGACGGACATTTTATGGTACCAAATGTTGATTTTTGAAAATTAAAAACTAATGCAATAAGTTGAGTTGTTTTGTTTTGGTTTTTTTTTGCGTGGAAGGGGGTGGAGGGTCTATTAAAAACGGATAACTGTTTCTTTCTTCTTTGTGGGCTGTTCAAAACAAAAATTTGTCAAAGTTCTTAAAATATTATGGATTTGTTCAAGTATCTTCTCCATGCATGCACGACAGCTATATGTATGACAAATTTATTGTGGCTTTTTATAGAACGTGTAGGCTATGCTACTTATATGCAGGATATACTTACCCTTTCCAAAACACCTGGTGCCACTTTCCTTTCTGCAAATTTTGAAAGAAAAAAAAAAGAATTACTGCACCAAATCAAAGCTTAAACAAAAAACAGGTAACAGAGTGTTTCATAAAGACTATGGAAGAAATAATTATTCCTCGCATGAAAATCGACACTGTAACTAAGATAAACGAACCGTTAACGTTCTTGGGCTGTAAAAACCGAACGAAATTTTCCGTTTTTATAAATTTGTTGGACAAACAGGATAATTTTCCTTTTAGTAAGAATATTTGGCCACTTTGCTCAGTATCGGTTTTGCCTATGACTTGACTGACTGAAACATATAGCGCCACAGGACCTAGAGGGCCTCAGACCAAGGTGCACATGACTGTTTTTTTTAACACCGTCGGAAGCCTTTCTTACACGAACTGTAGTCTTAAACATATGTCATCACCCTCGACTTTGTTCAGTTGTGTTTAAAAACTCATTTTCATCTTCCTCTGTCATGGGAGGTAGGGGATGTGCAGATTGGGAGGGGTCCTCAAAGTGGAATACCTTGGGGCTTTTCTTCATCCAAATCCGACAGTCCGCGATACTAATATTATTGACAAATATTTTGATTATGAAAAAACTAACATAAGTTTCAGTTTTAATGTTGTGGTAGTACACCCTTTAAAGTGAAATACATGTTCATTGATTAAGTACTTCGATAGTGAGTCTTTTCAAGTCACATAATACATAGTCCCGAAGAATTGTCTCTTTAGTAATACTCAAATGCTTGATTAACCAGACGCGTAATGATCTCGGGTACAGATCTGAACTTGATTAGTTTGTACAATAGATCACATTATCATTTCCTAGGCATCATGGTTAGATTTTGTGTAAAGAAACGTTAATTTATAGATAAAAATGGGTTTTTAAAATTTATTTATTTTTAAAATATCAATTCAATTCATTGCTATGCTCTTTTCAAATTCATGTAAATGTGATAGTATAGTACTGATAGTAGACTGTAAGGCTAAGAGTCCAATCGTTAAGATTGTAGCGTCAGTGCGCATCAAATGAACATTTATGGAATCGAGTGGAACCAACGATGCGTGTATTTATTTACTTTGGACATCAGATCTTCTCATTTTTCTAGCAATATTTTTTATTGTCCGTAATAATATTCATCAGGAATAATGGATGGACTATTCACATTTTAAAAGTTTTATTTATTCAAAAAGATTATGGCTGGATCAGCATTAAAAAGACTCATGGCAGAGTATAAACGTATGCACATCTGTTCATTCTTTTTTGCGCGGATTTGCCATTTGGACTGGGATGATTTTATTTATTAATTTAAAAAAAAAAGAAGAAAAGAAAAGATAGATCTTCGCTTATATTTTTTTCATGGAAACATTCTAAAAACAGCTTCTGAAAAACAATAACCAATATTAGTTTGTTGATTTTGTTTCTGGTAGCCGCTTTTGCTCAGTGAGTAAGATGCTTTCTCACTAACATGGAGGTATTGGGTTTGCTCTCGAACCTGATGTTGGCTGAGAAACTTCCTGCGGCTTCCCCTTGTCAGTGGTGTAGGACGGAAGTACAGTGTCTAGTCATTTGGATTGGACACAAAAACGAGACATGACTAGCATGTAAAACATCCCTTTATTAACAGTTGGAATTTGAAATAATAGTAGGCCATAACATTCTTTATGGCGTAAACCCATCTTCATTAGCCCAGTCAGGGCAGAAAAGTAGGACATTTTAAAAAAAAAAATACAATTAAATGTATTTCGATTTTGTTTGATTTAGTTGTCATCGGTTGTGTCTACATCATGTAAAAGGTCCATGGTTTTAATAGATTTTGAACAATATCAACAGACTCTCCTGACATAACATCAATCAGTGAACTACTTACAGCAAACCTATCAGGACAATGAATTAGCATTATTTGTCACAAATTTTGTGCATCCAAACTACTTGTAACTTCAAATCAAAATTATTTGTATTTAATTGAAAAGCAAAGATCTTTAAATTTTGAAATTTTGATCAGGGTGCAGAAATTTATATGGAGGGTGTCTTAATTCACCCGAAAGATAGGATGTACAATTTCTTTCTAACAGCTAAACTTACCGTCACTTTCTGTAATGACAGTGGTGGCTGATTGTAGTATCTGAGTACCCACACTTGCACTGCCCTCTGATTCCCCATCATCTGTATGGTTTAGCCATGTGTACTGTGGCTAACATTGACTAAACATTATGTCCAATTTTTTTCAGAGCTTACACTTAATCCTCCAGAAGGTATTATTGCTGGACCAGTTAATGAAGAAAATTTCTTTGAATGGGAAGCCTTAATAATGTAAGTTATAAAATCAGACACGAAAAAATCTGGATTTTTAATGATTTATTTTCCCAGATATTGATCTGTTTGCTTTACAAACCATGCCAAACTAAGTATCAGGTCAGTCAGTATACACAAGGAACTGAGCTAAAAAAGATATTACACAAGGAACCGAATCAAACTAGGTACTAAGTCGTTATACACAAGGAACCGAACCAAACTAGGTACCAAGTCATTATACACATGGACCAGAAGCAAACTAGGTACCAAGTCATTATACACATGTAACCATTATACCAAGTCAGACATTATACATAAGGAGCCAAACCAAACTAGGTCATATACGCAAGGAACTGAACCAAAGTAGGCTCCAAGTCATACATTATACACAACAAATCAAACCAAACTAGGTACCAAGTTATGAAACACAAGAAACCAAACTAAGTACCAAGTCATTATACACGTAACACTGTTTCACTTGATTATATATCTTTACCCTTTACATGAATTATATTTTCAGGGGTCCGGAGGGCACATGGTTCGAAGGTGGTATATTTCCAGCCAGATTAACTTTTCCAACAGATTACCCTTTAAGTCCACCTAAAATGAAGTTCACATGTGAAATTTTTCATCCTAATAGTAAGTTTGTGTCTGATTTGAATCCTTTCTGTAGTATGAGCAGACATTTTCTATAATATTATATAGCTGCAATCCATATGCTTACCACTTTAAATGACGAAATATGCAAGTTTGGGCTCATAAGGAGTGGTCCATCTAGTTCTATTTTACAGCAATAATACTGTTCCCTCATGCACATTTAGGTCATCTGTTTCATCATCTATATTTATACCAGAGATGCCACTGTGACTCGGTGAGTAGGGTTCTGGCTCATTAACCTGGAGGTCCTGGTTTCGATGTTCATAATGGCAGAGAAAATTCCTCAGGATTCTCCGATGTGATTACCCTTGTCAGTGTTGGTGGACATAGGACCTGGCAAGAAACAGCATCCAGTCTTTCTGATGAGATATAAAACTATAGTCCCATATACACATTGCTGTACGTGTAGAATAACTTTTGACAATTGGACCTTGAAAAAAGAGTGGGCCGTAACACTTCTCCTGGCAAAAACACTGCATGGTGTGTAACTGTCTTTATTAGCCTGGATGGAGCACAAATGTATGAAGGTTAAATCCCATTCCATTTCATTCAATTCTGAAAATATGATATTTGTGACATCCAGGAAAATTCAATTTACTTATGTGTTGCTAGGTAGCGGTAGTGCTAGTCTGTGCCTTGCAAGTGTACTACATAATACATACATTAAAATTTTTAGATTGTTAAAATTTAAAAGCAAAATAATTTCTCAAAAGATATATTATTTTTCTTCTTTGATCCTATTTTATTTCAATTTAGTATATCCCGATGGTCGAGTATGCATATCAATTTTACATGCGCCTGGGGATGATCCTATGGGTTACGAAACAAGCGCAGAGAGGTGGAGTCCAGTACAAAGTGTTGAGAAAATATTACTTTCAGTTGTCAGTATGCTGGCTGGTAAGTGATCCTTTGACAAACATAGAAACACAAAAGTAAAAACCTCCCTCCTGCATCAGATTTTTGGTAAGAATTGTTTGAGAACCGGAATAATTATTTTGGATGGCCTTACATACCTGAATTAGAGAAGCCTGCTACAAATTCCATCGGAAATTACCGTTGCTTAGGGGATTACGTAATATGTTGCCAAAAAAAACATTTTAAATAGGTTAGCTTTAAAACAACTGGCTAGAGATAGGTGCAATCCATTTTAAGAAATTGTAAACATAGAAAAATCAAAATTATTGGAGTAGCCTCCCTTTTGGAATCATGCTTCAAATAGCATTATGTGATCAGAGCCAAATACCTGTATACAAATGTCAGTGGTAAACAAAATGACACATCATTTTTGAAATTACAGGATTTTATACAGATTATATTTTCTCGAACTGCTCCTTAAGTGTTTATAGTATTCTTATGGTAACATGGTCCATTGTCATACAAATCAGACCCTTTCTGTCTACCATTAGCTCTGCTTGAGAACAGACACAAAGCTCGTTGACATACATTTTAATTCCTAAAAGGATGATTTTAGACTCAACCGCTAACTATACTTTGGGAATTTGGAAAAGTATTTATTCTGCTTCCATTTATCAAAATTGAAAATGTTTATTTTGTCTTTGTGTGTATGAAACATGTCAAATAGATTAGAACCGCATTACAAAATAGTATATTATTCTCATATCGTACGGTCTCCTGTTACAACTATTTGTGTAATGAATTCAAATTATATTTGCCTTACCACAGTGTTATTCACTGTTGTATTTAGTTGGGGGTGTGGTTGGCCGATTGGTTAGCACATGCGTGCTCTATCATAAGGTCTTTCATTGAGTCAACTGGCGTTTTTTTTTTTTTCGATTCCCCGGTTGTACGTGACAAGGAATAGGGTCACCTGTCCAACCTCAAGGGTTTTCTCCAGGTCTTCAGGGTTCCTGCCACTGCTAAAGACAAAGACCCCTACGCGCAAGCTAATTATTGAAATAAAATTGAGCCATGTGTTAGTCTCGAAATGACCTAGTTTGTGTCAAGTGGACGTTAAACCCCATTTCTCTCCTTCTCTCTCTGTATTTAGTGGCATGACAAATTTCAGCTTTATGAACTTGTTTGCTCTTAATTGTGGGTCAAACTTGACGATAGATTGGTTGTTGTTCTTGGTGTTTAACACCCGCTTCCAACGAGGGTATATTGCAGACAAGTCTTATTTTCATTTTTATTAACTTAGCGCACTTGCAGGGGTCTTTCCTGTAGGAGGAAACCAGAGAACCCAGAGCTCGAAATGCGACACTCTAGGCCCCCCCCCCCCATACGGTTTATATATCAACTGCCGGGTTAAACTATTTGCCATCTGGCTTGATTGATAAAATAATTTGTTTTAAAAATATTATTTCAGAACCTAATGATGAAAGTGCTGCGAATGTTGATGCTGCAAAAACTTGGAGAGAGGATCGCCAAAAATTTCAAGAAATTGCTCAAAGAACTGTCAGAAAGTCATTAGGCTTATAGCATTATTTTATTTTAATGAAACTAAATATTGTCTATTAGTATATAAAACCACATACAAAATTTTATTCTAAGGAATGAGCAATTTACCTGAAATTATTTGTACAGTTCTTATTTTTTCCTGCAGTATTTAAAAGGTGTTAATCTACTTTGCCTTTGAAGTACAGAATTTTGAAGGTATAAGCAATGCATGGAAACCCAGCATTTTTTTTAAAGGGGATAAGGGCAGAGTTGTCTGTCATCATGGAGAGTTTGTATCACTTGAAAGTCTAAAATGAAGACAATTTATGTGCTATGATAAAAATTAAGTCCTCAAAATATAACAGGGTTTACAGTACCATATTTTCCAGTGTATAGTACGCTATCATGTATAAGATACCGGGTGAGTTTGACAGGGTCATTTCTAGGAAAAGGAAATACTTAATATTGAAATTTCTGCAATGGTTTGACTGAGTTTTAACATTTCATGATAATGGATTACCGTATTATCTGAGTAAAAACTGGCTAGGTACAGAGTTGTGAAAGTACAAGTCTGAGTTACTGAGATTTTATTCAGTATCTTGTCTTTTTTTCCAACGGTCGTGTTACTAAACGGCTAAACGATAAAAAATTCTGCAATTTTATATTATTTAAAAAAAAAATTTAGGCTAAGGATAATAAGTGTGTCAGAACAATGTATACCGCATTTCAAATATTTATAATTCTGATGTAGTTAGATTTGGTGTTGAACTTCACATCTTAGGTTAAGGGATTAATATTTGAGTAAGAACTCTGGTGATAAGTCAGGGAATGAATATTAATAAGACATAATCATGTTATAAACGTTACATATTATATAACTGTATATTATTAATATATTTGTCATTTATCAGAAAATTATAATTCTACAATAAAATATTGTGTTTCATTTTTTCATACGCCCACATGGAAATGTGGTCATATATTGTCATCACCTCCATCCGTCATACACAATTTCTTGTGAACATTCTAATGGCTATATTTATCATCCAATCTTTTTGAAATTGATATATTATTATGTTGTTTACACCTGGGATAGGAAGAATCCTATTTAATTTTATAGAATCTTGTGAACGGTCGAACAACAAAAGTTTGAATTATTTAATTTAGTAAAACGGACAAGCACTGTTACTTCTAGAGTTATTTACCTTGTTTCACTTTGTGAAGGTCAAAAGTTATCATACAATCTGTATGAAATTGATATTAGTGTCTTGTAAATTCTCTCACTTCATATAAAAGACTATATGAAAACCCGTCTTGACTACTTGGTTGCTTTAGCTGCTGTGGGCTTATGCTTTGTTGTGTGTAGTGATTGTGGATTCGATCCCGGTGGTGGCTGAGAAAGTTCATTGGGATTTCCCGGCATGGTTTCCCCATGCCAGTGGTGCAGGATGGAGGGCCTGACATGGAAAACTGTCTAGTCATTTGGATGGGATGAAAAATCGAGGTCCAGTCTACACATTAACATAGGTTAGGGTTGGCAGTTGGAATTTGATAAAAGAGTAGGCTGTAGCGCCACTGTCCGGGCAAAATTACCCTTATAGCACACTGTATGGCGTATGCTAATCTTCATTAACCCAGTCGGAGCAGAACAGTAGGACGTTAAACCTCATTTCATTTCATTTTTTGTTGCCTGACAATCTTTTTTTTTCAGAAAAAAATATTGTCATTGTAAACTCAAAGTAACCCCAATGGGATAAAATTAAAATCTCGAAAAGAACAATTATTTGATTAATCTTCACATATTATGCTTTTAGTAGTTCAAATTTTAAAACAAAACATGGTTTTACTTGTCTTCACTACTGGAAGAGTTGTTATATAACCTGCATTCTGCTGGATCTGAGGGATTGACCAATCAAGTGGTCTGTTGGGTCGAGTTCTTGTCGTCTAGCACGCGGAACTGTGGGTAGACATTACAGCGATATTACATTATTATATGCATTGCGACCGCTTTGTGTCCATTTCTAGGTGCCAAAGAATAGGAATTTAGCTCCTTTAAATGGTAGACCTACATAGATCGTGGACCTAAATAGATCGTATGCGACATTGAAACATCTGCAGGGCCACGCATTGCTGAAAGATTAACACAGAATTCTTTAATCTTGTAGGTCATTCATTGCTGGCATTTTCGGTAATACGGAGTATCAAAGGATGCGTCAAAATACTCAATAACTCTAATTTTCTATACTCGAAACCACAATATAGCCCGGGAAACCATTTTATTGAGTAAATGTGAAGTTTGTTGGAGCATTGTGTGGCTTCTCAATTTCAACCAGATCGAAGTAGAATATCAGTTCAACCGACGTTGTACGTCGACACCCATTCCCCATACACGGAGATATTTTAAGAATTTTGAAGTGATTATGTATTTGTAAAAGTATTATCAAATATTTTTAGTAGCCCTACCTGGACACTCAAGGCCGGATAGATCAATCTGCGAAAGGCGTGGAGGGTACACGCCCCCCCCCCCCCAAAAAAAAGAAAAAACAAAAAAACCCCAAAAAAACCAAAACAAAACAAAAAAAAAACAACAGCAAGGTTGAATATTACGTGCAATTTATTTTAAAAATAACTTCTTGCATGCTTCCGTCTCTTGGATTTGGACAATATTTTCAACATAGACGAAAGAAATGAAAGAGCAGGGCCGAGCGAGCCAATTAAGTCTAGCCCAATTAAGCTTGATATACTGAGCGCCATGGAAAACGCATCACTTTTTTTCCCCAAACATTTTATTACTAGGTGGTTTTGTATGTATAATATTATGCAATACTATGAACTATTGTTTCACACAATGCTCCCAAACGCAAAAAATATCGGCCCGTGTGCACAAAAAAAAAGTTGGACGAGATGCACATAAAAAACCCAATATTCACGTGCAGCATTGTATGTGAGCCCTTTAAAAGCATGTTTTCAACTTAATGTGCAGTACATGAAGTGTGAAACGTATGAAGGAATCGAGCTAGAGATGTCGAGACTTACTAAAAATCAACGGAATGAAGCCATGGGAATGTCCAGGGCTGGCATGTCTACACGTGCTATTGCCAGACACTTTAATGGTCATCAGTCCACTATTGTAAGGTTGGTGGAACGTGTTCGAGTTACTGGATCAACACGTGACCGTCAACGTCCTGGTCCACAACGCGTTACAACCCAGGCTCAAGACCGCTACATCCGGGTCACTCATCTGCGTGACAGATTCCACCCAGCGACTCGAACAGGTGCAGCAGTCGTCGGAAGACAAGGACCAGTAAGTGCCAACACCGTAAGACGTCGTGTAAGAGAAGTAGGACTCCGTGCACGACGACCTTATGTTGGAGCTATCCTCAGGGATCATCACCGTCAGCGGCGTTTGATATGGGCTCAAGGACACCAGGCATGGAGAAGAGTAGACTGGCAAAGTGTGCTCTTCTGTGATGAGAGTCGCTTTCATCTTTATCACGCCGATGGCCGTCAACGTGTGTGGAGACGTCTTGGGGAACGTCTTGCAGACTGCTGCGTCTTCGAAACGAATCGATGGGGTGGGGAAGTGTAATGGTGTGGGGAGGCTTCACATTTCATCACCGGACCGCCCTACACATTTGCAGGGGTCGCGTTAATGCTGTAGCCTACCGTGATGATGGCCCGTGGAGGACACACGCGCTACTGACGTCTGTGTTGGTTTTGACCCCTCTGACTTTGTACCCTTTATTACAGATTAAACATCCATAAGTGTACAAATGTGTTGTTATTGATGTGTTCCCATTTGAATATTGTTCACAATAAGAAGCCAAATAAATAAGATTTGTTTACAGGATCATTTTGTTATACGAAAAACTAAGTGATGCGTTTTCCATGGCGCTCAGTATATATATAAATGTACATTTTACGTTTTTATACGCCCACATTGAAATGTGGTCGTATATTGTTGTCGACCCCATCCGCCCGTCCGTCCGTCTGTCCGTCCGGCGTCCACAATTGCTTGTGGACGCTCTATAGGCTAAAGTTAATATCCGATTGACTTTAAATTTATACACAGTGTTTAAGGTCATGAGACGAAGAAGCCTATTGATTTTCAACGATTTTCGATAATTACTGCCAGAGTTATGGCCCTTGATCACTTAAAAATCTTGTGGACGCTCTAGAGGCTAAAGTTAGTATCCGATTGACGCAGTGTTTAAAGTCTTGAGTCGATCATGTATATTGATTTTCAATGAATCTTTATGACTTGAACAGCTAAATCCATGATGTTAAAAGTTTTGTATACTAATTAACGTTAGCATGGGGAAGAACTTTATAAAAACCAAACAAATTCTAAAGTTTTTCTGATAATTACTTAATGAGTTGTTACTCTTAATCAGATTTTAATGTATTATAAATGTTTCATTACCGAAAAAAGTAAAAATATGCGACAACTCTTGTTGATTGCCCGGATGATATAGCTGCTGTGGGCGTATGTTTCGTTGCCTGGCAACCTATCTTTTATTACAATAAAGGATATACGCTGATTGTGACTTCTGCGATTTTATTACACTATTAACAATACTCAGTCCTACGAAAATTATAACAATATGCCGAGCAAAAGGCAGTATATTATAAAAGATAATTAAACTATTCGTAGCCGATGCATTCTATGTTTAAACTGTTCTTCATTTCTACACCTTTCCCTTTTAAAGTGTGATTTTAAGTGTTGGGCTTGTTGATTGAATTTTTTTTGGATCGAATGTACTACCGGGTAATACTTCTATTTAGAAAGAAAATATGGATGTTGCATCGAGGGTGTTAACCACACTGATCAGAAATGAATTTTCGCTAGGCCCCTACAATTACTGATAAGGATGACATCGATGCGACTTAATGAGCCAGAAATATTTCCTGCGACAAATTAAATTCTAAAACATTTTTTTTTATGTATTGGAAAAATAAATAATGGCGTTTGACGTATTTGTAGGTAAAAATTATTTCCTATTTAGTGTAAATGAGTATTAAAATGACTAAAAGACATCATTCCGCCCGAAGCAGTAACGTCTTATGTACGCGCCATTCAGCCAATGATTGACGCCGCGTGCTGTGACGGCACGTGTTGAGGCAGTCATCTTTGACAGAGATATTACTAGACTCGTAATTCTCTGACTCGTAATTCTCTGTGAAACAGATTGGGAGAACATGAGCTGTGGTGGAGGCATAGAAATGTAATTCAGTAGTTGGATTAGATAACAAATCTTACCTCTCAACCCTCCGTCAGTATATCTCAACGTTTTTAGCTACGTTCTCGTAGCTATAGTTGGATATACGAACTATGGTGAAGATTTAGGGAGTAACAACATGAGTATCACTCGAAATGATCGTATGTTGGGTCGTCACCGATATCGCCACTAAAAGCGCCAAAGAGACTCCCGATTTCAAAGCCGTGGGTTCGAGTTTCCGTCTTATTTGGTAATACATGTGTGGTCATCTGCGTACATCTTCAGGAACATGGTGTCAGCAACTTCTGATTGAATGAATAAAGCAACGAAAAGGTTTGGAAACCAGGAGCCATTATGTATGTGGTTCTCGGTATTGTTTAATCTTGGCAATCAAGAGATGTAACCAACACTAGTTTCGTTCTTATGGGCGTCACACATTGGGGGGGGGGGCGGCGAATCCCCAATACTTGGAACCCCCCCCCCCCCAAAATTTACATAGTCGGCCCTATAACTCCGATTTATTTACAACAATTATTAGGATTAGTTACGATTCTATATGTATAAAACAATCTACAAATTAAAACACAAACACTTATGTTTACTTTTTGAAATCCATTTATAATACACAAAATGTTCAAAATACTTTAAATATCTATACAACTTTCTTGTAAATGTCAATGTGTATATGTATATAGTACTGTAGTTAACAAGGTGA